TTTTCGAATAGTCCTAACTTTCATCACTATAAGCTAACCAATGCAAAGTATTGAAAGCAACTGATATGAAGATATCGTTATCGGAACATTTTCCGCCTGAAGCAACGTTTCTAAAGAATCTTGTGTTGCTTCTTAGAGAAGATTTTTGACTTTTTATGGCAAACATTTTTTAAAGGAGGAAAATGGGCTATTCGAACATGACCTTCAGAAGTCGTTTGGAAGTCAAGTAAATGAATGATCTTGAAACTTTAAAAAATTGTCCTCCAATTCTAAAAAACATACAGTTCAAATCTAAGTGACCTGGCATGTTGTGTTCGTGAAATATTGAATAAAACGAGAAGTAAATGAGACTAAATAGCCCTGTACATTGATAGTCACTTAGAGAGGAATTTCGGGCAAACGAGAGAATTCTTCGAAAGATTTTCCCGATGGACTTAAAGCCATGAATGTACCCTAGAGGTCTATAACTGACGCATTTCAATGCAAAAATAAAAAGGTTTTCTTAATATAATGATGTGTTCTATTCATCTATTCCCTTTCAATCCTGTCTTAGAACAGTAAAACAGGCACACGGTATGACGATATTCTGACCTGTCCTGGAGTCGGCATTTTGTCCTGGGACCGAACTTTATCCTCATACAAAATAATATTCAGAGAATCGACTAATGCAATGCTGAAAAATAGAAGATATATTAAATTATTAGATGAAATACTCACATTTAATTAGAATTTATTTTATCTCCTTTTTCGATGAATACAAGTTTTGTGAAGAATCGTAATTCTTTTGATATCAACAAGGAATTTCCATCGATAAACTCTGTGGGATTTAGTTTGATTAGCATGAAAAGAAAAATAAATAACTTTTGATGGCCATTTTGATTGCTACAATTTCATGAAAGTGATATTCAAAAGATCAATCAGAATATTGATTAGAAACAAAAAAAGATGATAACATGATAAATGGTAAGAATGCTGAATTGGCCAACTTGTTTTTTTTCAACTGACCTGATATTAGAATGTGTCTTTGACTTTTCGCCATCTTTTTGTTTAGCTTTTCATTCTGAATAAATATTGTTCCATCAAATATTTACCTTTTCGGAATGGTCAGAATAGCTCAACATGGTGAACAGATTAGGAAAAGGCTGCAACAGAAAACAGAGAAAAGTCAGAGAAAAAAACGAAGTAAGCAAAGATACAACAACTTTTTTATCAGCTAATAACAATTCTAATCAAACTGTTGACCATTTACAATAATATTGGTTCTTTGTTTTGCTTTTGTCTAAATATTTGCTAAAAAGATGAGTCCAAAGTATGTATTAATGGAAGGTGAAAACAAGTGAAAAAAAGTCATGAAAATGATGTGAAAAGAATGAGATGCAAAAAAAGTTATTACATTTGAATAATAATCTGAAGCAAGAAACAGGGGAAAAAAGGTGAATGAAGAGAAACCTGGAAGAATATAAAGAAAAATGTTATTCATTTTTTTCTTCTCAATTTACGTATTAATAGGAACACTTGAAGATATTCAAGTTGAAATGAGAAAAGAATGAAAATTGAGTTTATCAATGTTTCTCTTGATGATATAATTGGAAACATTTAGACAGACTTATGATGAGAAAAGTGGTTAACAAGTTGTCAACCAGAAGCTGTTTCAATGTCGCGAATATGCAAGTTAATTATTTGATAAATGTTATTAGTATTAATAGGAATTGGGTTGAGATAATCTTGAACATTACCATGAAGGGAGTGAAATGTCTTAACCATTCACCAGTTTGTCCTCTTTCATGATAACCATCATGATCATAACCATCATTATCATGAGATGAATTAAAAATAGTTAAGAGTGAAAAGTTTGGCGATGTTATCAAATCATCAAATGTTAATATTGAACCACTTGGAGTTTACCAGGAAAAGTCAGAAAATGTTGTTCTATCATCTTATCTTTTCTTTCATCTTAATCATTTTTATCGTCATCGTCATCATCATTTTCGTCTTTAACCATTAACAGATTGTCATTCATCTAATAGATTATCATCAAAGAAGAAAAATTTTTCGCTTTTCTTTTCTTGTTCGTTTTATAATTTTCGCCCAAATATCACAGGCTCTTTGAGTTCAACTTTTTTCTTCTTCTTCTTGCTTCTCATGAAAGGAAGGAAAAGGTAAAGAAGAACATGAAGAGAGTGAAGAAAATGATGTTGATGATGATGAAGCGTTGGATGTAAAGGAGTGATTCTTGAAGACATTGTAAGATGATAATGATAATGATTATTATGAAGAAGTAAAAAGATAAGTTATGTTGTCTTTGAAGGTGTCACAGTATTAAAGCTCAAATTATTTTTTTCCTCTCGTCATTTTGTCTCTCTTTGCTGTTCATCAGTTTCATCTTATTACTCTTTATTGTTATTTATTGTGATACCTTTTAAAGGGAAGTGAAAGGGAAGAAAAAAAAGAAAACAAATGATGATGAAAAAATATTTATCTTCATTTTTACTTTGCTTTTTTTACTTTTTCAACATTTACTTTTGTTTCTATTTCCAGTTATTTTCCAATCCCAACTATTTCATGACTTTATTTATCAATACTTCATGTAATTTCATAGAATCTCAACTTTGGTCAAACTTGATTCTTAGAGGATAACTGCAAGTTCGATATAAAGGGTGAGTCAAAAGTAGGAACACTTGAATAGACTAAGCAATAGTGTATCGTTTTGTTTGATTATCAGCGAATTCAAATAACATTCAGTTTGAACATTTCGTATCTTTATTCTACTATTGATTTTCGAAATCATGCCGACTAGGTTCTCCAAGAGTCAGAAAATTGATGTTCTGAATTGTGTTTTCTTCCATAGCAGCTTTAAAAGTTGTCAAGCTTCTGTGGAATCAAAGATTTGGGAGTTACTCCAACAGCATTGCATAACTTTATTGGGTTCACAGGAGTACGGATGAAAGTAGTATTGGCTTGCTAATTCAAACTTTCAGAAATTCTTCATGGAGAATGTAGAGTTTCAAATTTTGAGAATGTTGTTTCGGTTGTTTCGATGTTCAAATCGCGATAATTCGAGAACCACTAACTTAGTGTTATAAGCGTAAATATCAAGAGCGAATGTCAAATCTCACAAAAACCTTCGTGAAAATTTTGTGTCCTTACTTGGGTCATGTTTCATTGACTGTATCTCGATATTGAAAAGAAATATCTTCTAATTGGAGGTTCGTTCTTATCGTGTTGATATTTGGCTTTTGCTAGCCAATTAACGAGTGAATGAAGGTAAAAAAGATTAAGTGAAATGAAAAGTAGAAAATGTTGTTTGACTTTGGATAAACCCATCAATCATTATTCATTTCCATGTTAATACAGGGAATGGAGGGAAAGAATAGAAAATTGCAAATTCTATATTGAAATGCTGGCAACTTTTTCCTCTCGTTCACCTTAATTCACTATTTTCAGCTTCTTAATTTTGCTCTGGAAAAGGAGAAGAAAGAAGTGTCATTAATTTCATTGCTCGTCATTTTGCTCATCCTCATTCCCTGTGACTTTATCGTCATTTCAACGAAATTCTCCATGGATTTACATTATCTTTCCTCAATCATTTATCATTAATCATTTCTCTTTTATATCCTCATCAGTGGTAAAGCTACACATGATTATTGGTAATGTAATGTTTAACTTGGTGCAAGATGTGAAAGTGTCTCTCATTCAACTTTTATTTATGCTTCCAATGCAATAAATTCATGTTAATATATTTGAATAATGATTGGGAAAAAATTGATCAGCAAGGAAAGGCAACGAAATTTAACCTGCAATACAGCGAAACAAATGATGATCACAAATTATCAGCCATCAAATTTAATTAATCAAAGGTCACATTAGGATCATTTATTTTGACCTAAAAAGTATAATGGCAAAGTGTGAGGTGAATGAGAAATGCAATTTTTCTCAACTAAATTAATGTTATTTGATAGACTCTTATTGAGATTGATTGGATTAGCTTAATTAGTGAAGTTGAATCAAAAGTAAACTTGATTCAATCAAAAGTCAAATATTAATACTGAGTTAAGCGATTGAGCTCAAGCTAAAGTTGAGCCCTTTCGTTCCCTAAAGCCATGCAAATATCGTGGACTCTCCAACTTCATTCACTTTCTTTTATTTTGGTGATTTCAACAAGTTGATTGGACAAGTTCGAGTTTCGAAGAAAATGAATTTTCTACGAAAACGAATTCGTTTTGTTTTTTCTTTTCAATGTTCAACAGTTATTACGTGTAGGTTTCATCTTCAATTACTGAGACTTTTTCACTCCTATTACTTTAGTCATGTCTTGAATAGTTAATGCTTCATGACATTTTATTGAATTGATAAATTTTGATGGCATAAGTTTGTGACGAGTCTGTAACAGTGAGTTGCAAATATCTTGGAATGCCTTTGAATGTTTCGCCTTTTGTTGGAGAAAAGCTCATCTTTCAATTGGACTGAAAGGAAATGTGTAATTGATTTCATGAAGAATAAGGTAAAAAGAAAAAATATTGGTCAAGTTCAATATTTACCTTTTCATGAAATTGACTTGAAAGTGACTTTGCTGGAATCATCGATATCAATCTTCATTTGAACTTGCAATTGGATTAATATTAATTCAATCTTGATATTGCATTACGATAAGCTGTGAAAGGTTGCAAGGGAAAGAAAATGAATGGAATAAAAAATGGTGAGATAATGAAATCACAGGAACGAAACAGAGTCCAGAATAAGTTCTCAATGAACATCTTTAATGAATAAAAAATTTTCATAGAAATTTCACATTCTATCAAAATTCAGCCCGAAAATGATTTTGCGTTTCGGTAAATCTTTGCATTTATTTTGATATTTTGTGAGTTCAGTAGATTCTCTGAAAATAGCAATGAACTCAATATTCACTGAAATCGATTTGAAAATTGAACTTTCTCTCCAAACAAAATTCGCTGAAGTAATTGAAAATTGGTCAAAAATTTACTTTTATTTTTTATTTTTAGGCGAAACAAATGCTTGTGGATCTATTAAATGTGATAATGAAACAATTTGCATCCAAACATCTCCTGATTCACCTGGAATCTGTTCATGTCCATCATGTTCTCACCACTATGAACCTGTTTGTGCTTCAGATGGTCTATTTTATACTAACGAATGTGTCCTTCGACGCGAATCTTGCAAGGAAAATCTAAACCTTCGAATCGTTCATTCGAATGAATGCGGTAATTGTTCATTCCAAATCTTATTGAACGTTTTTCATTCCAATTTTAACTCTTATTTTTTTATTTGAAATCGCTTTCAAAGGAGGATGTGATAATGTTCATTGTCAATTTTATTCAAACTGTGATATCACTGAAACTGGTGAAGTTTCATGTCATTGTCCTAAAAACTGTTCACAGGTAAGCATCGAATTTCAAAGATTCATTTTTACATCATTATTCCAGCAATATAGATGGATAATTGTTTTTATCAATTGTTAATCTTAACATTATTTATTCAGTTATTCATGAAAATTGTAATGGATAACTGACAATGGTAATGATTTGTAATTAATGTGAAAATGGTTGTTGCAATTATATTTTCATTTTTAATCAATTTACTTTTTTATACTAATTCATCATTATTGATACAATTTGTTTCTTTTTAATTATTTATGTATGCAAGGCATAAAAATTTATTCATTTCTTGTATCAAGATTTCTGTTCAGAGTTACTCATTTGAATATTTGTGCTCTTTTTGCACAGCCATTGATTAACAATCGATTCAAAAAGTTATCATTATCAACAAATGCAAGTTATTTTTTATCATTAAATGTTTCCAAATTACATGTTTGTATCATTCCCTGTGCAGACTTGTCTTAATTATATCTTTTATAATCATAATCATGATTATAATGGAATATGATTTTCATAAATTTTCAAGCCAGCCTTTCATGGATATATGATGATTAAATTATAATGAAGATTGGAAACACAAGCTCAGGTTAGAGTGAAACGAGGTTGACCAAGTAGTTAAGTTGATCCGAGAGAGGTCGACCCTTCTAGGTTAAGCTAGACAGTAAGTTGATCTAAATGTCAGAGTAACATTTTATGTTAAGTCAACCTTTTAAGTTGACAATCGGTAAATGATATTTTGTTTAAAATAAAATGATTTTGATTGAGGCTTGGTGACTGGCCGGCTAAGTGTAAAAATTGATGAGAAGGGTTGCGTTTACTGGGAAAAGGATGAGGACTAAAAAATAGGGACTAATGCCCAGAAATAGATTTTTTTAAAATACAATTAGTACAAATAAAATAGTAATTTTTTACAATGAGGAATGACATGAAAAACAAGATAATGCAAAACTTTTTTTATATTCGAAGCCGTTTTCGTGAAATCGCCTTAAAATTCCTTTCTGAGAAACTAACTATTTCAGATTGTATTCACTATGATTGTTTATGCTGATTCTGAATATTCAATTGATTTTCGATGTGACGTTTAGTTGCTGCAATAACTTGGAAAAAGGCATAAAAATTAATATATTAATAACAGATAATTTTGATCAGCGGGATACACGATATTCGCGAATCACGACGAAAACTATTTTTTCTTATATAGTTTTTGATCCTGAATGCCGATTTGTTATCAAGGTTTGGGAATTATCTACCTTTAATAACTAGAAAATAATTTGCGATTTTTTCTTAAGTTTCCTTCAAGATTAAATGTTGGAATGTGATTTTTTCTAATATTTTTCTCATTCTACAAAGCTACAAAGATACGCAGATTTTTTTAAGCGAGTAATTATTTCTTTTATTGACAATATCAACGAATTTCTGTTAAGTAGATAGTGGAAAATGACTGTTTGATTTTTTATTCATATACAAAAATTAAATTATCCAATGGCTTGTATAAGAGCCGTATTCATCGATGTCAGGCAGTCTTTTGGCAAAATCGATTAGGTGCTTTGCTGGGATAGCAAGATCTTGCCGCCATCTGATTTTTGCATAGAATATAACCGCAATGATGTGTGCACAACTACCCATTGTTCACCTCCCTTGATTGCAACTGCAGTAATATTAAACCTGCATTTCACGGTCAGCTTTGAAAATATTCAGCATGAAATAACAGCCAAGATTTCTTCTTTAAAACCCCATTGAATTTTATGGGCCTCTGCCAGGCATTTCTGTGTACGGTTGAACTCATTTGTTTTTTCTTTTCCATGCAACACCTTGATTAAGTCTATTTTAAGCCTCTTGGCTAACGCTTTAGAAACTGATCCAAGGAAGATATTTTGCCTTTTCATTGGATCAAAAACTCACATTTCTTTTTTTCTTACAATAACCAACCTAGCGTGGGCATAAAATTGTCAAGCTAACAGCAATCCTTGGTATGAAGAGGTCAATATTAGAGCAGATATTACTGATAGACTTTAATTGTTGTCTAAAAGCATCAGCAGCAACATTCTCAGTACATACTGTATTTGAATATTCTTTATTTTTCAGGGTTCCATAAACAGTAGATTTAATAGAAGTAGTTTGAAATTGCTTGCTCCAAAACACTTTCACCGAAAGTGAAAGTGTGTTGTGTTTCTTATGCAAGCGATCACCATAAGCTTTTCACCACAATCTGATCCTTTTGACGATCGTTTTCTTCCATTGTGGTTGATAAATATTTCAAAAAATGCATCACTTTAAACAAGGGTATACTCGGTTCAGGTGGAGATTGAGGAGGAGAAGGTATCGAAATACGAACACTATTCGAATTTTTGAACAATTTCTTTTCAGTGGGATTCATCTCCGGTGAATAACTTTTGTTGGAGGCTACACATGTTCAACAGGCTCGTTTAGAAGTTCGTTTCAGTAAGGCGTTACCCAACACAATCAAAGCGGTTGTATTTGCTCAATACGATGATTAAATCACGACGATAAAAATCGGCAAGTAACTATTGATTATTGAAATGTTGAATACTTTAGAAGTAGAGTATATGTTAAGAAATATCAAATGGCTTGGAGGATCGATTACCTATTACAATTCAATGTCCAAAATCATTTGTAATAAATTTAGATCCAAGTTACAAAGAAGGATCTCTTTGAGTGGCTGTTCATTTCCCAAGAATGAAAAGAGCAATATATTTCGATTCTTTTGGTCGTTAGGCTGATGGTAATATTCTAAATTTTATTGACAGAAATGTTACAAGAGGATATGAATATTCTCCTAATGAATATCAAGGAAATAATTCATCAGCATGTGGATATTTTTGCATTTTATTGTTCCTATTAGCTAATGAACCTCGGAAATTTTTTACTGTATTTTCAAGATGTAAGCATGTTGAAAATGAAAAACGGTTGAAGAGTATGATTAAAAAAATGATCCGAAATGATTGAAAATTATATTTTGTCAAATATTTTTTATGAATGATGGACATTCTGGCGAATAAATATTCTGTTGCGTCGGAAAAAACAGTGAGTTAAAAATTTAACAAAAGTGTGCTTGAGCCAGCCATTTCATACTACTAATAGATCAACATTATTATTAATTATGAATCTATTCTCAGACTCATGATACCCTTCCGAAATGTCGATAAAACTGCGCAAAAAGGTAATTTCTTCTGCAATACTTCTTGCGTTAGGCCTCGTAGGCTGCGTAAGGCCTTGCAAGCTTTTGGTCAAGACTTTCTTCTCTGCCAGTGACCAGCACTTATCAACAAGATAATAAAATAAGATAGTAGATAAAATATGATAGATATAGATATTTTTTATTTCGATGAAATTTCCAGGTTCTTGCACCCACAAACATCACCGCTATCACATCATCTAGAGCAAACTTCAAAGCGCCTTAGTGATGATTTTTGATTTCTTTAGATAGCATGAGACTTCGAGCACAAATCTATATTAGATAAAACACTTAATTCTCTGCACACATTATCAAAGGTCTTATTGATCAAAGCGAGGTGGTTTGTTCTATTTTCATGCTCATTTTTCAATTTATTTCAGCAACTAAGTGTTACATCGAAAAACCGATTAAATATTCATGATCAGCATAATGGCTTTGATCTAAAATAATCAGTTTCACAGAAAAAAAAATTCAAGGCCATTTTCGCGAAATTGGCTTCGAATATAAAAAAATGGTTTGCCCCATCTAGTTTCTCATGATATTTTACGTCTAAAAAAACTAGTTTGAAAAAATCTATTTTTCAGGCGAATTCTGTCCACTTCTTTTAAGTTCATTTTAGCCTCTTTTTGGTGCAAAACTTACTCGTAATGAAAATTATTTTTATTCATTTTTTGTTTTATCTTTTGATTAATCTGTTTACTTATGGATAGGAAAAGGATCCTGTTTGTGGTAGCGATGGATTAAACTATTTAAATGAATGCCAATTACGTTTAACTTCATGTCAACAACGTCAATATATTACAGTTACCTCTAAAGTTCAATGTGATTTGTGCTCAAATGTCCACTGTAAATATGGAGCTCACTGTGAAGCTGGCCTTTGTGTTTGTCCAAAAGATTGTCCTTCTATCTATGAGCCAGTTTGCTCAACGGATGGTTATACTTATGCCAATGAATGTCAAATGAGGTTAACAGCATGCCAACGGAAGTTAGAACTTTCAGTTACCTTTTATGGTGAATGTCAAGATTCCCAGATGAGTGAGTAAAACTAAGTAACCAAAAATCAAAATCAACAAAAAAGAAAAAAAAGAAACCAAATCATCAATGTTGTTCTTGAATCAATCTTTAATCTTAACCTTAAATATCAACAAAATACAAACTCATGCAACAGTAAATATCATTAATGAAATGCCTCCAACCAGAATGATGAGGATTTTGAAGCATGATAACGTAGGATCTGAAATTTAATTACTATTCACCATTTGTCTAATTCACCTCTAAAATAATAGAAAACCTTTTTTTGTTCGATCCCACTCATTAGATTCAGTTTTAATTTGCAATCATTTGTCTTCTTTAGAATAGTTTTAACTCTTTTTTGGTTCCATTCATTTGCTTGTTTGTTATTTTTTAGACTCTAAGTGATCCTTTCAATACCAAATGTGACATTTTTTCTTAAACTTTTTCCTTTTTTTCAATCAGTAAAACGTTTAGGTTCAACATCACCATCGTCACCATCTTCATCTCTTTCATCATTTACCTTTACTGCTTCATCGCCTTCTTCAAATTCCTTGACGGGTTACATTGATACCTGTGATCAGAATACATGTCGATTTGGTGGAGTCTGTGATTATGATGCCACTGGAATACCACATTGTGTTTGCTCGTACTCATGTCCGGTTCGTGATGAAAGTCGAGATGAATTTGTTTGTGGCTCTGATGGTCGTCTCTATGAAAATGAATGTAAACTCCAGGAAGAAGCTTGTCGACGGCAACAAGAAGTTGCTCTTGAATCAAGAGACAAATGTGATGGTCAAAGGTTATTGTCTCTTTGTGATTCAAGTCAACCTTTAGTTGATCCTTTGACTGGATTAGACTATACTTGTGGAGACGGACCAGGAGCTAAGAACTGTCCTGCTTTTAGTTACTGCCAAAAGGATGGCTATCATGCTAAATGCTGTCCCGATGTTGCTCTAAAAGTCAACTGCAATTCAACAACATACGGCTGCTGTTCAGATGGTTTAATTTCAGCACTCGGCTGGAACCTAGCTGGCTGTCCAGAGGTTTGTAATTGCAATAAACTGGGCTCAATCTCATCAACCTGTGATCCAATAACAAATCAATGTCAATGTAAAGTTGGTGTTGGTAAGTTTTGCCTTCTTTCACATAATCTTCTCGAACTGCGCTCTACCAAGCTCAAACTCAACACAAAAACTATAATTTTATGTAAGAAAAAGTCTCAAAGGAAGTTACTGATTGAGTGTTAACTATCGAAACTCAAAAAGAGTTAAATGAATCGAAAAATTATCACCTTATTTGCATTTAGAAAATAAGAAAATAAATTGAAAGCGAAACAGATTAAATTTCTCGATGCTATTCAATGAATTTCTAGAAATCCTTTAAAATTCATTTTTTCAACATTTGTAAATGTTTCAATATTTCACCTTTTATCGCCTTTAATACTGACCGATGATTCAATATAAAACCAAATCTATTAATTATTCATCTTCTTTCTCTTCCCAACCAGGAGGACTTCAATGTGATCGATGTAAGCCAGGATTTTGGGGTTTACACAAAATTTCCGAAGGAAATAATGGATGTATACGTAAGTATTCATGTTGACTGAATAGTTGAATAATGAATAGGAAACAAGTTGATTCTCATGATAAATATCGAACTATAAAACTTTCAATTTTTATAATTCATAACACAAAATGAGCGAAAAAAAGTGAGATTTTCTCAAACGAATATCAATCAAACTTCACACTTGAACCCAACGCTTTTGGTAAATTTTTTAGTTCATGTAAAGATCCACTTGACTTTTCGAGTTTTACGAACAAGTTGACGTAAAAAACGAATTTTCGAACAGTTTTTTTATCTAAATGATCAATATCATTACAGATTTTTTCACGTGCTTTTTGACTCAAAGTTCAACTTTGTTTTAAGCTTTTTGTTTCAAATGTGTTCTTCAACTTGACAACAATTTGAACACAAAACATGGAATGAACCTTTTGTGAACCTTTGTTATGAAATTTCAATGTTGAATGTAAGAGAACTTCAAATGAAATTGATGATGCAAGCCAATTTTCCAGTTGATTTGAACTTTTTTTCTTCTTTCTTTAGTTTCTTTCATCTTCTTCTCATAATCTTTTTCTAGCCTCAAGGATTCCAACTGAAACCTTTGGGAGTTTTCAGTTTTGATCAAAGTTATCACTTTGCTCTATCACTTTAGTGTCAATTTTTACTCTTGTTCAATATTATTTCCTCATGCAGTTCACTTTGTTTTTTTACTCTTCATTGTTATCTATCGATAGTTGATGTTGTTGCTCTTGTTGATATTGTAAATGCCCTTGTTGGTTGTACAGGTTTTAAAAGTAGTTCATCATTTCCCATGATAAACATGAAAGTGAAATAACAAATTGAATGAAATAAAAGGTTCGTTGACAAAGTTGGTAAAGAGTCACGTTGAAGTTTTACATTATTATTAATATTTTATTTCAGTTTCTCCGGCAATTGGCCTTATCCAAACTAACAATGATCAATGCAAACAAAATAGTGTACGAATCAGCATTACATTTCATTTGACAAAGTGCAATACGTGAATGATGATTGAAAGAGAAACAAACATAATATCCTTTTTGATCAACTTTTTTCTTCAGTTTCATCGACTCTTATTAAAATCCCAAGTTACTGCTTCCGTCTCAAAAAGTATAATAAAAAGTGAACCAAAATTAGTGACATAATCCAACAATTGGTCTGAAAATGGTTTCAAATTGAAAATATTTCAATTTCTAGTGAAGTTTGAAGTTAGCGCTTTGATTGTCACATGATGAGCCTTTTACTGTGCAATCATTGCCATAATATTATAATATTATAATTGTTATTATGAATTAATGTTGGATTAAAGATTATGAGTTGGTTTGAAGAGATCGATAATAGTTCAATAAATGGACATAAAATCATTCCTGAAAACAAGATGTTCTTTTTATCTTAAACGCGTTTAAAAGATTTGAGAACTTTTTTGTGTCTTTCGTCTTCAAGCAAATAACTGTTATTTTATCGGCTGGATCGATATAACACTGCAGTAATTTTTACTTATGTAAACTTCAATATTTAAATTAAATGAAATTTTTATCGAATGGAGCATTTAGAGCTAAACCATCAGACTAGGCTAAGGTTAAAATTTTCACAGCTTAATCTTGTTCTTGTGACAATAGAGCATCAGAATTCATTCTTACATTTTTACTTTTATCAGAAAAGAACTCTGAATAATCAAAATCTGGTTCCAATCGATGTATTAATCAAAGGTTATTGTTTCTTCCAATTGCAAACAGCTTGTTCTTGCAACAAAAATGGTTCGGTACGAGGAGACTGTGAACAAATGACGGGTCGATGTGTTTGCAAACAGGGTTTACAAGGAGTTAAATGTGACATTTGTCCAGAAGATGCCCTTCTCCTTCCTCAAGGCTGTACGATTTCAAGTCAATCATCAAATCAAATTGCACTTTACTCAGCAATTAAACGGTCAACTTTCAACTTTCAAAAACCGATTTTCTTTTATTCTCATCATTTCAGTCAATTTAACCAAATTGTACCCAGAATCATGTTCCACTATAAACTGTCTGTTTGGAGCAAAATGTGAGTCTCTTGATGAAGGTGGATCTCGATGTGTTTGCAACATTGATTGTTCACCAGAAGAAAAAGTATCTGATAAAGTTTGCTCTTCCGATGGAACCATTTTCCCAAATGAATGTCAACTGAAGATATATTCATGTCGCATGCAAAGACCCTTAACAACATTATACAAAGGACCCTGCAAACTATTTGAATCAAGTAATACAAACAATGATAAAGATAACAACAACAATGATATTGAAACAATCACTCAAGGACCTTTAAGACGTTCAAACGTTCAACAGTTTACAAGACAGCAACAACATTGGTTGATACATTTAAATCAATCCGTCAAACAACTTATATCAATTTAACATCATCTTCTTCTTCTTCCTCTTCTTCGCCCTCACCATCAACTGTATCTTCTTCATCATCACCTTATTTACCTTTAAATACAATTTTCTCTGTTGGAACAAGTAAAACACCTTCTTCAACTCCTACACCCAATAAAAGTTCAATCATCTCGATACCAGGTTTTCTTGGTAATTCATTGATTGAATTACCTCGTCTTCAAGCTTATTCACGTTTATCAATTGAAATGGAGTTCATCTCTTACACCGAATCAGCAATATTACTTTACAATGGGCAAACTGTTTCAGGTGAAGGAGATTTTGTTTCACTTTCTATTCGCAAAGGTAAACACAACATTCATCTTATTTCATTAACCATTCAACAACTTGTAATTTAATGTCTCCTTAACAGTTAATTATTATTACATGATTACCAACTAATCAATAGATTGACACATTTTCAGTCAATTTTACCTTCTCAGTGGTTTGTGAGAAAATCCAATTTGAAGAAAATATTTTTCAACATTTTTATCAATTTTTGACTTTCATCTCAAATGCATTAAAAAATCTTCTGAGATTCGGATAAATTGAATAGAATGAAGAAGATGGAATGAAAAGTTGTTTTAAAAATAGATTTTGTTTCTTTCCATCAATAGGTCATATTGAATTTCGTTATGATCTTGGATCTGGTATGGTCATTTTACGTTCCAAAGAGCCGATTGTTATTGGTTCGACTGTTCGGTTTGTAGCTAAACGTTACCATAAAGATGGTATTCTCAGTGTTGAAGGGCAACCCGATGTTACCGGTTCCTCGCCTGGTTCACTGAAAAGCCTTGATTTGGCTGAAAACTTGTACCTCGGTTGGATCCCAACTAATCGATCCAATGTCTACAACAATATTGGCCTTAGATCAGCATTCATTGGTTGCCTTTATCGCTTCAATGTGGATAAAAATTTACGTCTAAAAGACATTCTTGATCCTTCGACTTCTACCATTTTACGAAGTGTCAATGTAATTGATTGCCTTGATATGCCTTGCTCTGGTTCATCCGTCCAAAGATTATCTGCATCAGTTAATTACTGTCACAATGGTGGAACTTGCTTACCTTTAATTTCCTCAACTGATGGTTCCATTTCAAGTTCATGTAAATGTAAACCTGGTTATACCGGTGAAACCTGTAAACTCACAATTGGTGATAACATTTGCTCAATGGATAACAATCCTTGTATCAAAGATACTGTTTGTGCCTCATTACCTTTCAATCAAGGTTTCTCTTGTTTCTGCCCACAAGACGATAATAGCCTCGAACTATGTTTAAATGGTAATTACGGTCATTACTTTAAGTTGAAAAGCGATCAAATCAAATTAAGTGATTACTAATAAAATTTGGAATGGCTTTTGCTACATTCAATCGCCTTTCAAAGCCACAGTCACTAAATTTCAATTTGCTTCAAATCTTCGACCCATTTGTGTTTCGATTATAATCTTTGCTTGCACATGCATTCAAATCAACTTATTGTTGTCCGTTCAAAGAACGAAAATGCTAGAAAACTCAAGTTCTGTTCTTTCTCAGGGCAAATCAAATTCGTTATTTTGTCTCATTTTTACAGTCCCTGTTTCATCGCCAATAAAACCATTAGAGCTTCAAAAACTGTTCAAGATTTGCCATTTAAATAATGCTTTCGATCGAAAATCTAGTTTTCTAAAATTTTCAAATGTCTAATGTCAAGGAAACAATAAGAAACCCAAATTTTATCATAGATTCCTTGGGTTTATGAAAGGGCGAAATTTCGCATTGAATTGCTGTGAAAACTGAAAAATGAAGGATTCTATGAAAAGAACTTTCAACTTTTCTTCTTGTGAATACAATTCAAAGTGTATTGAAAAGTTTCTATTAATACGAGCGATAATATTATTAGCTTTGAAATGAAGAACAGAAGAAGCAGGGAAATCTCAAAAAGACGATTAAAATAATTTCCTCATTTGAAATGTTTCAAAACCATTGAAAGATTAAACTGATTCAATCATCTTTTAACGAATCCATTCAAGTTTTTAATTGTTTAGTAACATTTTACTCTCTTTATTTCATCTAATCAGCTCAAAGAAAAACTGAAAACGCTTTCATTCCTGATTTTGTTGAAACTTCTTACCTAACCTTACCAACTCTTCAAAACATTGCTCAAACATTTATCATTGAAATATGGTTTCTATCTCGAGATATAAATGGCTTGTTATTTTATAATGGACAACATTCATCTCATGCAAAAGGAGATTTTATATCGTTAAACATTGTTGATAGTTTTATTCAATTTTCATTCAACTTAGGATCCATTAATCCTAGCGAAAGGTAAGCAAACATTAATTAACCCTTAATATTCATCAAAATCACAATTAGCCAAAGTTAACTCCTAAAAAGCAAAAGATTCCTGCGAATCAACTCAACTTTTTTGCGAGTTTTGACAATTGGGTTAATAAAAGATAATAAATTAAACTAATGGATCCAAATGGAAGCCAATCTTGTATACATTTACAACAATAAAATGTATAACAATTAGCCTTACAGATGATTACCATAAATTTCAATGCAATCATTTATGCATCAATCTATTGGATAGACTTTAGAAATAATTGATTTCTTTTTTCTCTGTTTTACCATTCAACTTTGGCTAACATTAAATGCACCTTCAAGTGGCCTTGTTACCTTAAGGTAAGTCGACTGGCTAACAGTTATTGTAATCCAGATTGTGATTAATCTTGATAACTTTTTCATTTATTGATTGAATACAGAAGTGAATCCAAGATATCAATTGGTGAATGGCATTCAGTGAGAATCACAAGGAATCGTAAGCAAGGAGGTCTTCAGTTGGATCAACACTCAATGGTTTATGGTGAAGCAAAGGTTGGTTTTACTTTTAATGGTCAGGCGATGGAAAAAATTTTAGTGTTGATCGCCATTCAGCTTGTTTAAGGGTCACTCGATGTGAGATTAACAGTTAAAACAAATTGCTTAGAGATGATCAGGTTGACGGTTGGTTTTGAGATTTAATTTCATCTTTTATCTTTTATTATGTCTAATGGTGAGGAAAGGTTTTCAATGAAAATTAATCAATTGATCTTTCAATTGCGTTGTTGCTTCTTTTAATGATGAAAGCCATTTATTTGATACTCAGGGATTCACTCATTGAATTTCCAAGTCACGAGAAGTAAAATGAAAATAATGACGAGAAAAAAATGTTGAAATAATTATAATTAATTTGATTTCTCGTCTCTTCACTTTCACCTTATTAGACCAATTTAAGTGAGCTTAACTTGGACCAACCATTTTATATTGGATCAATTCCTGGTTCACACTCAACTCACCGAGAGTTTAACATTAGCAAAGGATTTAACGGAGCTATTCAAAGGATTGTGGTTAATGGACATGTTTGGGATGATTTACTTGACCGTGCCATTGAGATTTATAATGTTGCCAAATATGTTGGGCCTCCTTGTGAATCACCTAATCCTTGTTCATCATCAAATGCAGTTTGTGTCCCACAATTCAATCATTATACCTGTAAATGCAATTCCCCAGATTATTCAATCGATTGTACTTCTGATATTCCTCAAGAACAATAAATGACAATAAAATATCAAATTAGATTTCATTTATAACTTTAATTCCAAGATGACAATGCCATCTACAATCAAAATTAACAGATTTAGAAGTATCAAAATGAAGCTGAGAAGTAAATCGGCCAGAAAACTCGGGATGTTTTCAAGTTCATTTCAGATGAAGAGATTGGAATAGAATGGTGAAATGATAGCGGCAGTAACCGGAACCTTTAATGGCATAACTGAAGATATTGTGTGCGTGTGAATCGCGGTCATAATTTATAAGGACAATTCTTGATCCATTGGCTGCTTCTCATGTTAGCCCTGGAACAATTGAAAAAATTGTTGCCAAAACTTAAATATTAAGATGATGATTTTGCATGGGGCAAGCGAAAAATAAATGAGAGAACTAGTGTAAAAAACTGTGCTAATTCTTGCTAGCGATCCTAAATCCGCACTTTTAACTAAAAAGTGCATTCAATAGACACAATCTAGTCTTCAGTGTTTGTTTTAATTTTCCCTTTTCTCTTTGGCAGTCACAAAAAAGACCTCCTCTACTCTGAGGCATAACCCTTACTTACTACTAGGCGCTGAATCCATTGAGCATTATAATATGACCGCGGCCGATTCGATAATTGTTCAAACCGTGGAACATTAAAAGTTCGAATGAGAAAGATGTTAGGAACAGGACATTTTTGGGATCCTCGCATTTCATTCACTAATACATAGTTAATGATATTTAATGATATTTAAAGTCTGATTATGAGGAAACGGGGATTAAAAATTTCATCTTCTCTAGCAACAAATTAACGAAAGATAATTTTGTTCAAACTACAGCTTTATCTTTGTTTTGCAGCAACTGATTTGAGAAAGATTTACTGATCGTTCAACTAGCTTTTCAACGAATTTCTGCAATGATAAAAGCTAACGACGACATATTTTAACTTTGATCTAATTATGTTTGAAGTGTCATAATTTTTTATTCTAGGGTAATCCAAGGTTATTTGCAATTGCAGTCCGTTACGTGTCGTTTTCAAGATCATTTTTATCTACATATGTTTTTTATATGAAGCTACCATTAGGTTCAATATATTTTGTTAATAAAAACCTTGGATGAGGTTTGAACGCAATAAAAATTGGCTCTTTTTTCATTGAAACCAGTTTGATACAGCAGGTGTCATGCGACTGCTTCCAGTATAAAAAGACTTTCATTCGTGCACGTGGACTCATCATACCAAACAATCACTTGATAAGTATAGTTTACTTGAAACTCTAATCATTACCAAATACTTAAGAAGCATAGAGATTTATGAATATATTATTAAACAATTCTGATTAATTAATTACAACGGTTTACATTCTTGTAACTTTGAAAGTGAGTTGTAATTGTAACGGTTGTCCAAGGTTTAATGATACTTTTGATGGTTTTGTGATTATCAAGTACAATTTTTATGCACTCAAGTCAGGCGTTGTGGAAGCATGGATTCTTTAGAAACATCTGTATCAATCGAAATAACAACCAATTATTATCAAAAGTGATAATAATAACAATTAACAAAAATTAAGTACCTTTTTCGATCAATGTTTGCCTTTGCAAATCGTCTATTCAAGTTAAGTCAACACTGATGACGGAAACATCATTATCAATGTAAAGTGACTAATGAAAAGTTAATCCAGCTCATCGTACCAAACTGAACAATTAGCACTTTTCCTCCTCTTGAATCATTTACTAGCAATAATCCTACTTTTCAATCCAATCTATGATTGAACAACATTTAACAACCAAAATGGCAGCAAAAGCAGCAACAGCAACAAACGATTATCCAGTTTGCCGTGTTTGTTCAGATCGAGCATCCGGTTACAACTTCGACATTCTTACCTGTGAACCATGTAAATATTTCTTCAGTCGGAATATCTACAGATTAGATGTAAGTTGAATATTTTCCTTTTTTTGAAACTTTGATTTTCTTTTCAATAATCACTTATTTTATTTAGGAACTGCAATGTCCACGCAACAATGACTGTCCCATCGATCGAATGACCAGAAAAGGCTGTCGCAAATGTCGACTGGTTAAGTGTTTCCAAGTTGGTATGCATCGAAATCGAATAAGAAAACTGGCCAAACAAAAATCTCTGCTAATGTGTCTTTTGTCTGAACAGTCAAATGATTGCTTCTCTTTCGATAAACCCATTTTCCCTGAAAGTGGTCCGAAGAAAAGAACCAAAAATGAACTTCCGAAGAGTTCAAATTATTATAATTCAACAGAAATGTTACAAGATTGGGATTCAATTTCATCAACGAGTCAAACAGCCGAATCATTATCATCAAACAGCTCATCAAAAAGTTTTACTCAAGATTTCTCAAACCCATTAAACTCTTATCCAATACAACAAAATATTTCAACTGATAGTGAATCTGTGAACATTAAATCATTTTCATTTTGTGCATCAACCAATAAAGGACAGTTTCCCAGTCAACCAAGTTTAGACCAAACTGACTCGATGCAAGGATCAGTGAAATCACCATCTTGTGACTCTCCTACACCAGTCAGTGTAATCATGAATGGTTCCAGGTTGGATTCATGTCAACTTGCCAGCAATGAAGTCAATGTTGAAGCAAAAGCGGCGGATGACCAGGATATTGAGGTGATGGAAGACAGCTTGGAAGAGCAAATTAACCCGAAGTTGCAATTCAATTCGGTTTGTGAAGATAAAAATGGTTGCCAGGATTTGTCTCTAAGCTTAACAGAGATAAAGACTATTGAAAGGGTTGTTGAAGCTTTTTATTCCTTCAGTCAACCTTTACCTAGAAATGAAAATGTCTCTGTTGAAACAATTATTCAATTCACTGATATTTATCTAGAGAAGCTGATATCTGGATGCAGAAGTTTATCTTTTTTCTGCGACATGTGCCTCGATGATCAAATTACTTTGGTTAAGTTTAGTTTTCCCGTCATTTTGTCGGTTGAGAAGCATTTCTCGACCCTTTCAACTGCCAAAAATGAGGTAATTTTAATTTACATTTTATATCAATTTTCCTACAAAAATTGTTCATTACACAAGCAAACATAAAAATAAAGTTGTCAACAGGCAAATGGAACAATGAAATCACTCAACATCAGATGTGATTAGATATAAAGTTGAGTTCACTTGTTTTGCACTGAACAACAGAACAATTACAACTCTTTTAATCTGTGATTTCTGATGAATTCTGCATGACCTGAATCCGGGGAAATTTTTATATCGCAATGAAATCTTTTTTCTCGGAACAGAAGCAAAGTGGCAAGATATACTCGGAATTAATCATCAATAAAAAAAATATGATTAGATATCACTTAATGTCTTTCTTGACTTGACACATTGATTTTCAATTTTAACATAATTAAATTGAAATGTTTTTGTGCAAAGTTTCAGAGAGTTTCATGTCTTTCGAAAAGTTAATGAAAGGTTCATAGAAACAAGTAATCATAAACACTTCAATTGATCGACTTAAAATTAACATTATCTTACAATTAGATGATTTATCAAAAATAAACTAATGCATGGTTACAATGTAATGAGACTCTGAGTAAATGTGAACTCCTTTCAATTGTATCTTGTATGTCCTTCGACAATTGAGACATTTAAGACATTTTCATTGAAACAAATCAAAAATTCGATCTCAGGTAATTTTTGTTCATTGGAATGTTCATAATCAGAAGACCGTTGTAAACGTTGATCATTGGTTTCCATTTGAATGATTGTTGTTTAATCTCATAAAACCAAAAAAATCTAATGTTTAACCATTTAGATTGGCATTTATGATTTTGTTATTCTTGTTAGTTTATTAGATAGATTGGCAGAATTCCTGGAAATCAGTCATCAAATCACCATGAGAGTTTTACAGATTACGAAAGATCAACATTCATTGATCAGGTTGAATAAAGATTAAACCGAATTACGAATTACTTGAAACAATTTTAATATAAAAAATGTATTATTTAATGATTTGTCTAATCGAAAAGCATTTCTGTCTTTAAATCAGATTGGTGATCAAGCCAAACTGGACACGTCTATGATTGCTATTGACTATTCACTTGTTAATCATTTGGTTAAAGATCCAAAAGTTATTTGCGTCTTGATTGCCGTCATTTTGTACAATCCTGATCTTCATAATTTGCGAAATTCACTCACTATAAGGTAAATAATTATAATTCAATTGTACTGAATAGTTATTAATTTTGGCTTTTACATTGATCTATTGCAGGAAGGAACGGCAGTTGTATATCAAACTATTGAGACGTTATCTTGAATCTCAATGTGGTTCACCGTATCAAGCGCGAGTCAAACTCTTCGATTTAATCAATTTAACCAACAGACTGATATTCACCCAGCAACAGCGCCAGTTTAATTCAAACGGATATTATTATTTATAATCATCTTATTTTATTATCTTATCATAACTTATTAATCGTTTCATCGTTTGACTGCCAAATATTGTAGTTAACACTCACATTGGGTTCAATGGAATTTAATTATGGAAATCATTTTCAGTCCAATTAAAGCTGGGCAGCTGATGTTTGTGGTTTTTTTATAATTACCGAAAATGATTGTACATTGTTTCTGTCATTTGTAAATAGTTTTTTTATTTAATAACAGATGGTGGTTTCAACCTTTTTTTCTGGTTCGAGACTGCAAACGATTTGTTATTTTGTACAGAACTTGAATAATAAATAAAATATCATCGTAATTGTCACTTTTTTAAGCCAAACATTTCGAAAAGTTTATTTTCATGTTTAAGTGATAGAGCCAGAAATTTCTGGATATTTAGTCTCTGGGGCTATTTGACCAGAAGGATTTTTTATCTTAACTTGATATTTTCTTAGGATTGTCAGTATTTTTCCCAAGATTTTGAAATCCATATTATTTAAAATAGGAATAATTGTTTTTGATATAAATACTGATTCTAAAAGTGACAAAATTTACTTTTTTCATACAATTCTGCTCAATTAAATTGCAATCGATAAGCAATAAGCCAGTTGATAGATAGATATCGAATCCAGGATTTGATCCTACTTCTGGCTATTTAGCTCTCACAGCATTTAAAAAAGTCAATCTCATCACATTTGTTGTTTTTATCTTAGTTAATCATTCAGTTATCATTATCATCATCATCATCATCACCATCTAGATCAAAATTATCATCATGTCATTGTCAGTTGTTCGTAAAGTTGAAGATTCTAAAGAATCTGTTCCCAAAAAGCAGAAAATAAGTGATGAAACGCTGGAGCAAAATAATGGATACTCCTCAGAAGAAGCCATTTCAAATGATGAAAATTGGGAACAATATCATGATTCTGATTCGGATATACCCTTAGATACAATTGATGATATGTTGGAAGAGAGTCTAAAGAAAGTAAGTGCTGATTCTAGGCATCTACATTCCGGTCCGGGACATGAAGAGCGTAAAAAGATTGTTTTGAAGAAAAGAGATAAAGACTATTTTGAAATGCTTCCAGAAGGTTGGATTGAAGTTACACACTTTAGTGGGATGCCTATTTATCTTCATAAACAATCAAGAGTCTGTACGCTGGCCAAGCCATATTATTTGGGTCCAGGAAGTGCCAGAAAACACGAAGTTCCTATCTCAGCTATTCCATGTCTAGCTTATAAACGAGAAGTCGAGAAAGAAAAGTCAAATGAAGTAGAAGAAACTCATAATGAAAGTAATAGCCAACTTCCTATTCTAGGAAAAGTCGAAAGTGTAGCTGAGGCGAAGAAAGAGAAATCTTTGGACTTCCTTGCAATTCGTGATTATTGTAGTAATGTTTTTGAATTTGAAGAGATTACAGTACGTAAATTTAAAACTTGGGCTGACCGGAGAAAACATATCCAAATGAAAAAAATGGAACAAAGACCATCACTGCCAGAAGGAACTAAACTAATCAAATTTCCTCTTCCAAAACATACCGAATCTAGTGATCCTGCCCGTAAAAATTGCAAAGAATTTTTAATGAATCCTGCTGGTAAATCAGCTGTTTGTATCCTTCATGAATTTGTTCAACACGCTGAAAGAGTTCAACCAAAATATGTATTCAAAGAACTCGAAAACGCTAGCATGCCATATAGTGCAACTGTTCTAATCAACGATATGGAGTATGGTGTCGGCTATGGAAGTAGTAAAAAACAAGCTAAAGCGGAAGCAGCCAGAGCCACATTAGAGATACTTATTCCTGATATAAGAGATATGACACAAGATGGAAATAGTAAAGTCGACACTTCCATGCAAGATCTAACCTTCTTTGATGATATTAAAGTAGAAGATCAAAGAGTCAGCGAATTATGTTCTAAAGCTGGTCAACATTCGCCTTACCAAATTCTAGTTGAGTGCCTAAAAAGAAATTATGGAATGGGTGACACTGAAATAAAGACTGATGTGAGACTTATTAAACACCAAAGAAATGAATTCACCATGAATGTTGGTAAACACAGTGCAACAGTTATTTGTCGCAATAAAAGAGAAGGTAAACAAAGAGCGGCTCAAGCAATTTTACAACTTCTCCATCCACAAATAACTTCATGGGGATCACTACTTAGATTATATGGTAGAGGATCTTGTAAAACACCCAAAGAGAAAAAAGAAGAGGAACAAAAAATTACTGAGCTTCAAAATACTGCTTGTGCTAATCGTCCAAACTATGCTATACTCAATAAGTTAAGAGAGGAAATGTTGAAACTCAGAGCTAGTGACGAAAATCGAAATCATACCAAAGAACCACTCCGATTGATACTCTGTTCTGAAGATAAGAGCGATGCACAATCTACTCAACTAGTAGATTGCCATTGACATATTGGATTTGCATAGGACAATGAAAAAATTCAAATGTGGAATATACGTTATACGTGTATCATCGTATTAGTTTAGACACATAATTTAATATTTATTTTGGCTTCACAGAAAAAAAAGAAAAGACAGCCAAGGCTTAAAATTGGACAATGTCCGTTGAGGACCGTTTCAGTCAAAAATGAAACTCCCATTTTACAACAGTGGTGAATAAAATATTTAATTTTATTTCAATCTAGTTTACATACAATTGATGTGAGGTCTAAGTCAACCAAGATCTTTTTGTTTTTAAACAGGTTTTGACTGTAACATCTTTTTTTGTTTTGTTCACAGAAATCATGACTCACAATAAATATTGGTTTTTTACTATTCCTTTTAATTTTACCGGAATATTAATCTTGATTCAAGCTAAAAACTGAAGGAGCTACCATAATTAACGTTTCTTTGAATACTTGATTGCAGGTTAAGCTAAACGAATTCACAATCCAGTTCATACATTCATTGATTATATTGACAGATTCACTAGAAGGAAATGCAAGTAAATGCGTCAATTGTTTCGATTAAAGTCGACTTTTAATCTTTTCAAGAATGAGTGCGAAATAGCATCAAAAATGTTATTTTTACTATTGAAATGATTGATGAATTTATTGTTTTGAAATAGTAAACCATTATCACTGAAAATCATTTAAAATCAAAGAATCATTCTTTCTAGAGTAAAAGTTAGTTAATTAGTTAATATGGATAATTGCACCGAACACCAGAGTACAAAATACTCTGGTTAACCTCAGGGCTTGTCTCACAGTCCAAGGTAACTGTTTTGAATAAATTTTTTATGATTAAAAAAACTATCTTCAATTACAGAGTTACTACAGATTGTACTGATGAACCAAATAAAAAAATCAGTTGGGCCGAATTTTTACCAATCTATTTTACGATCATCTTATTAATCACCATTCAGTGCGCAGAGCAATCAATATAATTGCTAATAGCAATTAGAAGCAGCAATTTACAACATTTACAGATCCAACTCACTTGATTTTCAAGATTTTGTTCTTTTTTATTATAAAATTCAATGTTTAATAAAATTGCTTAATACCTGCGACTGTATCAATATGTTTTGACTGGACTTGCTTATTTGTATTCTGACATCGTTTGTGTTGATTTTAATCCTGAAATCAATATTTCCGACCAATACTTATTTATTATGATATAAGAACATAAATTTCACAATTTACTGATTGAAGACAAAGATTCAATACATCTTGAATGGTTAAACAACTTAATATAACGCTAATATTCATAATCAAAAATCAGTCAGTAACGCGACTCAAATAGCATCAACTCAATCATTCCAATCCATTTTGATTGTTTAGCCTTTCTATTACTAAAACTGGTAATAATTACAGTTTAATGGTTGATTCACTTTAAAAATGAAGAAATGCAAATATTATTAACCTTCAATACAGCTGGAAAATTAGTCAATCACAATTATAATTATGCTTAAATTGCCGCCCACTTATCATGTTGAACTGTGGTGATTGTGAAAGTGCAGAATCAATCCAAATCATTATTACAATACATAAGACACTCAAAGCAACAATATTTGAAAAAGGTAAACAATCGAGAAAGACTCAAGTGAATACAATTGAAATTGACAAAAATTTTCTCACCAATTCAATTGAATCTGCATATTAATGAAAGATTGAATTACCAATGAGATTCAACTTGTAAAGGTTGATGAAGCTAAAATTGATAATGAAATGATCGCACAACGACAACAATAAAATCTGAGTAATTCACAATATCTCATAATAACCTTCGCAATTTTTGTCCAGCATTACTTTTAGCTATTTTATGTGCATCATAATTGACGTTTATGGAATAGGTTTATTCACGTTTAATCATAATGATGATAAAGGATAAGAGAATGGAAACAAACTTTCCTGTTGTGAAATCTCTGATAATATGAATTTCATGCAATTCATGATAAAAAGCTCGGGGCATCAACAATATCCACAAAAGCCGTAGTCAAACATACTTTAACTTAATAAAACACCAATCGACAACAACAATAGATTAGCTGAACTTTTATTGCAGTCATTAGGACAGTATCATTTCAAGTCAATTGGTCAATTTGTTAATGATAATTTTGTCCATTATGCTTAGAAAGTAAAAAATGTTTCAAATGTTGAGTATTTTACAAAGAAATATTAATGATAACTCTGTTTCTCATCGACTCTGAATGATTGTTATGACGATGAAGGAGCTTGTTGAATAGCTTATTTCTTGGCCGCTTCAGGGGAATTTATTTTCCTCTCTTACTTTCACATCTCATGTTAACTCGAAGAAATCATTGAGGAAGAGAGCGAATTAATGATTACTTATAACCATCAGGATACACCATTGACTTTAAAACTTGAATATGTTCAGTGTTTGTCTTAAAGAGTTTCTTTTTTTACTGGAAAAGTGTATTAAAAATTAACAAAGTTATTCCTTCAACATGAATTTATTTTATTGAGTTTAACTTCACCAATTGTATAATATCATGTCACTAGAGATTAATAATAACAATGATCAAGATGATAACAACAACCAATCCAATGGAAGGATTGAAATCAATAGGATTGAAAAAGAGTTCAATTATGACCCCAATAACAATAACAACGAACCAAAAATACAAGATGACCATCATAATTTAAATCATAAAACAATACATTCAGACTCTCTTTATTATCCCGATCCTATTCGCTCTTGGCTCAACGAAGATGCCAATCTTGCTGTGCGAGTTCGAAACGTCTGCCTGACTTATGGCTCCGGCCAAAAAACAACTTGTGTCCTCAACAATCTTTCAATATCAGTTCCAGTTGGTTCAATTTACGGTCTCCTCGGTCCAAGTGGTTGCGGTAAAACATCACTTCTAGGAGTAATTTCAGGTTTATTTAGACCTGAATCAGGATTGGTTAGAGTCTATGGTTCACCTCCTGGTACACAGGGATCTGGTGTACCCGATTCAGGTTTAGGTTACATGCCACAAGATACTTCTTTACACACTGATCTAACGATCTATGAAAATCTCTGGTATTTTGGTCGTCTGTTTTTTCTTCCACCTGCAGTTCTCAACAAACGTATTGACTTTCTAGTTACATTGCTTGAGATGCCTGAGCCAAATCGATTAGTATCAACTTTATCTGGTGGACAACAGCGCCGAGTTTCACTCGCCTGTGCAATAATTCATAAGCCTAGGTTGGCAATTCTGGATGAACCAACTTGTGGTGTAGATCCAGTTCTTTGTCACAAAATCTGGCAATTGTTGAACAAATTTTCCAAAGAAGACAAAATGACAATAATAATTACAACACATTATATTGAAGAGTGTCGTAAAGCGTCCATGGTTGGCTTTATGAGAGCAGGTGAAGTGCTAGAGGAAGATACACCATCAAATTTAACTGCTCGCTACCAAACTCCAAAATTAGAGGAAATTTTTTACAAAATTTGTTTCTCACAGAAACGCCGTAATACAATATTATCACGACGAATGTCAACTCAAAGTCCAACTTTGGCTCCTGATGATAAACAGCGAGATTATGTGTCTCCATATAAAAGTTATCGGTCAACTTATCCAATACATTCATTTTTCTCGTCTATTTACACATTAACCTGGCGTTACATGTTACAAAGTCTTCGATCTCCTGTTTATTTGTTGTTATTGTTCATCTTCCCTGTTTCTTCTCTGGTTATTATGGACATTTGTGTGGGTCGCTCGCCCTTTGACGTTCCTGTAGGTTGGGTAGTTGCTGATACACCCGATTATTTAGGTTCCCATGTTAAAGAGGAAAACTTTTCGGAAGCCTTTTTCACGCATCAAGTTCCATATTATCCAGATGTATTATACAATGCAATTGATCATCATGTGCTTGATATAATTAAATATCCTAATTTAGATGATGCCTTAGCTGATGTGAGAAATGGGAAGTTGACTTCAGTTCTCCACATGAAACAACACTTTTCCACAGCATTTCATGAACGCGCAGATATGTTTTCTGGGAAAGATGTTGATAATGCAACAATTTCAAGAGGAACCATTTGGCTTTATGCTGATTTTGTAGATAAATTCATGGTTACAACAGTATCAGCTTCAGTTGAATTTGCCTTGTTAAAGGTTTTCAATGTAACGGCTCCAGCTTACAACCTTACTTATCACCAACGGGCATTACCTGTTCAATTAGGTGAAATTGATGAGGGTGGATTAGCCAATATTTATGAAATAAACTTGTCCTCATTTTTAGTTCCAGGATTAATTATAGCTTCGACATTCGCCTGTTCCTTTGCTATATCCAGTTTAGCTTTAATCGCAGAAGTAGAAGATAAAATTTTCGTCCGCAACTTTTCAGCTGGACTAACATCGAGTCAAATTATTTTCTCACAGTTAATTTCTCGTTTCATATTCTTCTCCATAAATGGAGTCGTTTTCCTCGCTGTTAGTGTCTATCTGTTGGGTATTCCGTGTCGATCTACTCCAATTATACCAATCTTGATTATTTGGGTCCAAGTTATAGCTGGTTGTTCAGCTGGAGTCTTTTTTGGCGCAGCGTTTCCAAAATTTGAATCTGCTCTTTATGTTTCTCTATTCACTTTTGGTTTGGTTACAGCCTTTTCAGGGCTCTTTTGGCCTCCAGAAGCTATTCCATATTACATGAAAACATTTTCATTTCTGTCACCTTTCACCGAATCAGTTGTTGCACTGCGAAAAGTCATGGCACAGTTTGGTATTTCTTTTAGCAAAGTTGTTCTACCAGGAATGATAACGAGTATTTGTTGGATCACTTTTTTCGATGTTGGTGCTATTTATATTCTTAAAAGGCGAAAATTTTCCACTTGAATTATCACTTTGGTCATTGATTTTCATTCTGGGTTGATGTTTGATCCTGATTACTATCATTGTATGACATCTCATTAATATCATCGGAATTATCTTTGTTTAAGTTTGAATCATTTTGGTGCGATTCTTGATGATCTGTAAAGTAGAATAAATAAATGAGTAAATACAATGACCTTACACTGTGAATATGTTTGATCATTTTTATAAAAATTAAAGATTTCATTTCAGTTTTAATAGATCAATATTATGTTATTGGGTAACTATTAATTAAGATGTTAATCATGTTAAAGTATTTTTATTTACAACTAAAACAAAATAGATATTTACAACAATACATTATCAACATTTTAGTTTGCATATTGATCGAATTAATTTTGATTTTTGTGCTTAGATGAATTCATCAAAATATAATTATAATTCGAAGGAAAGATTGAAATTATTTGGAAGTGTTGGAATGATGAGGAATGAGAAAAATAAGTGACAGTTGAGAAAATTGCTACAAAAGCATATTCAAATATTTGTCATGTTTTGTTTCAATAATTGTAATCGTGCAATTGATTTAGTCCAGGCTTAGAAAGAAAAAAAAAGTCGTAACATGTTCTCAATTGAAAGTGACAGTTTCCAACTTTGATACGTTGACCAGTGTTGATTTTAGTAGTCATATGGTTATGATCATGGGCATGTTAATGGTATTCATTGCGATAAAGTGTTTCGGCATAGCAATAATTAAGTTAGTATTCATGCTTGGAAGGAATAATAGTGTTGCTTTGTTTGGTATTTCAATTGAGAGTTTTGATTAAAAATGGCGATGAAAGAAGAGATCATCATAGATGACCAATCAATAATTAGATTGGAAAGATGAAGAAGTCACAAATGATTGCAAGAAATGAACAAGATAATAATAAACGTAGTTTGTAGCTACTGTCATTTGTAATTATTATCATGCATTGCTTGATCCACTGATAAAATCAAAAATTTCCAATGGATAGGTTTTAAGGCCAATAGATAAACCTGAGTCAGTTTCCGAATTGTTGTTATCCATAATGGGTCGTGTTCCATTGTTAGAACCGTTGTTTAAAGTCTCTAGATGTGCGTTATCCCCACCATTCATTAGATTGTCTTCATTGTGAATTGTTAATTGACAGCAGTCTCGTAATTCTTCAATCATTTCGTCGAAATTTTTCCTTAATGATTGTTGATATTCATGTTGATCTGATCCTATGAGGCGTTCATTGAGTTGTAAGCAAACCTCACACACAGAGACGAATTGACGGTATAATTGACGGAGTTTGGTTACTTTTGAGGCAGGATAGTTTTTACCTTCATTGAGAAAAGCTTTGGCATAAGTTAATGGCCCAGCATTCACTTGGACGGAAATACTTCCTTGTAATGTTAGTTGGAGTCTCTTGAGATCGGGTGCATCGGAAAAGGCAACCTCTTCCAACTGTTTAACACGAATTTCCATTTCATCAATGGCCACTTCGATGGGACTTAAAATGAGAACCGTTTTTGATACAATAGGAACCCTCTTTACCACATATGGCAGACAGTGTTTGGTCGTTAAAACGGTTCGTTTTTTACATTGTTCCTCACAATCACCAGATCTTGCTTTGGACGGATCTGTCAGTGAAAAGGGAGTTTCGAACATAAACTTGTTCACATTGTTTACCTTTTCAAAGTCAGTGATTCGATTCTCTGAAGGATCGGTTACATGTGAATATGGAATTACATGAGTTATCTGAATATAAGCATATCGAGGGTCACAATCTTTCTTTTCATCGATCTCTTTCTCGGACATTATTAATTTCACATTGGAGGGTCCAAATTTAGATGAGAATAGGTCTTTCAAGCGTTGAGAAATTTCTGGTAACGAAGTTACTTTGGGTTCTTTATAAATGTATTCACGACCAGAGTCATCTTCAAAGTAATCTTTACCAAAAAATGCAACTTTGTAATAGCGTCCCAATAAACGTTTACCACTTTTCTTGGTCATTAATATTTTATCATAAATTTCACTAATATTACGATGGATTCTGCTGAGTATTTCATAATTTCGAGCTCTTTCATAGAAAGGAGCCATGAGTTTGTATATTTCAGGAACAACTTCATATCGTTCAGCACGAGTAAATAAATCAACTGCACTTTCAAGATTAGATAAGAGAGATTCCTCTGAGAACTGTTCTTCATCACTGTTTGTTTCATCTCTTCTCGTTGAATTATGTAATTCTTCATCACGAGGTATGTTTGGAGATATAATGGCAAATGCTTTGGCTCCTAAAGGATTTGGATTTCTGTTTCGAAGATATTCAGCTTCCAAGGCTGAAATGTGCACCAAACAGTGAGCAGCTTCTGAAAAGTTGTTGTTTTTAATGTGATTCTTGGCCATTGATTCTAACCATGTTCTTCTTAGTGCCGGTGATGTTTCAGCATAACTGTTGGCTAAATGATGCTGTAAATCCAATAACATTTCACTATCATTTTCGTGTTCCCTCATGGCTGCTGTTGCCATTAGCACGGTTCTCACTTTTTTAGTTAATTCTTTGACTAGAGAGGGAAATCTTCCTCCTTGCATACCTTTATCTGACCCAGCATAATTATTTATTACTGCCAGTGATTCTTGGAATCGAGGGTTATTCATGAGAGCTAAACCAGAATCTCCAAGTAACCGAGAAATCGATATAATCACCTGTAGATGCATCCGGGTCATAGAAAGGCCATTTGAATGATCAAAATTGGCTCTCATCAGGAGGTAGAGAAGAGCAGATGACTCATTACGTACAGTGACAATCCGGGAAGATGAGCATCGCAATAATTCTAAACACAGTTTACCAACTAGATTTGGATTACCTGAAAACAGGACAGATGGGAATTTATTGACAAAGCTTCTAAGAGAGGCGAAAAGATGTTTCAAAAGAGTTTCTGATTGTCCCAGTTGCAGAAAGGTGAGATAAATAGAGAAAATTTTCTTCATAAGTGGATTATCACCATCATTTCCAGAAATACGATCTTTCAGGTGACTTGTTATGAGACCAAGTTGATCTAAAGCAATAAGACCAGCTTCGGTAGCTAAATTAGCTTCCAATAAAGAAGAAAAGAGAATATTTTCATGAGAAACATTATTGTCTGATTCATTTTCATCGTATCTGGATCCAATAGAAGCGGTAGACATGGCAGAGGTAATTCTTGAAGGTAATGTGTTTGCCTTGTCAGATGCACCCGATCGTTTGTTGGTCGAATATTTCCTTCCACTATATTTAAATTCAAACAAACACATTTCCGTTAAAGTTAATATTTGAATTATTTGCACATCTGAGGCTTGGTGTAACCATTTAGTCATCAAATCTTCATTTACATGCTTGATTATCCAGAGGTGAATAATCAAAAGGTCTCTCACTTCTTTATTATTAAGTTTGTCAAATCGAACAGGTAAAGATTGCGATCTTTGATGATGAGAACCATCTTTTTCCAAGTTGGCAGGAGAATTCGACCTGGAATCTGTCGAGTTTACAGTTTTTCCTGCTTGCACATTTTGACTTAATTGTTGTTGACTTAGAGATGCGGTTACATTTTTTGAATTATTGTCGGGATCAGGCGAAGGAGATTTCGAAGAACTATCTGGTACATCAGCTGTAAGTTCATCAGAACTACCAGGAACGTTAGTACTTTGCCCATTGGTGACGATAGAAAGACCAACATTAGAGATAGGGACTGTTCCTGCAATATATTGCAGATAACTGGAATCACGATTGGCTGCTGCAATAAGTTTACTGGCTGACTCAAGGGTTGAATTGCGACGCAAACTGTTACTTTTGGTTGTACCATCTATTGTGTCTAAACTAGCAAGACTGTAGGTATCAAAAAAGGAGACTCGTTTGGATGCATTTAAGCAAGAATTGAGAGTTGATGATTTATGAGGAGATGAAATTCGAGATGGGTTGCTTGAATCGTTGATGAGATGTTGGATGGCAGATGAAAAACCAGTAACATGAATACGATTAATATTGTCCAATAATACAGAAATGAAGGGAAAGTATAGAGAAGCAATGCGAGATTGTTGCTGTCTATATTGATATCTGTCGTCAAATGAGTGCTTAACAAGAAGATTACGTAAAACTGAAATCGCCATACCACGAACTTGATGTACTTCAATAAGAGCAGAACGAACTTCTTGTAAAATGATACCAACAATGAAATGAGTTTTTGTAAAATATTCAGAAATTAAGACGGGATTTTCTTTAACACCAGGTTCAGTTGTATTCTTGGACTTCATAGATGATCCATGAATAGGTAAATTTAAAGGTACATGATGCTCATAAGCTGTTATAATAGCTAAAAATTCGAATTTATAATTATGTAGGGCAACACTATCACGAGCTGAATGAAATTTATCCAAATACAGTTTGATAAGGCGAAAAACAAAACCACGATCCATCAAGGACAAGCAGCGAGTCATGAAGAATGCAAGAGCTTTGTTCGCTAATTTAGTTTCTGAGGGAAGACCTCGATATTTGTGCATAATCTGAGGCATAAGAAGGTCAATAAAAGTAGATAAATTGTTGTGATATTCTTGCGGAAATCTTTCATTTCTTAGCATTTTAATTCGTCCGGAGTTTAAAAGATGATGAACCATGGATTTAATGGCAATTTGTAGGAAAAACCAGCAATGAGAGAGAAGATTATTGATAACCATGAAATCATTGAAAGATGAGCGAAGAAGTGAAACTAAAGAGCGAATAAGTTCTTCATGAAGGGTAGTCTTTGAGTTGCATGGAAAAAGAGATTCAGTTGTGAAAACATACTGTGAAAGAGAAGGGAGAAAAGAAAGAGAAAAGATAAAAAAAGTTAAAAAAGACAGAATATGAGTAAACTAAAAAAGAAAAGTTAACCTGTAATTCTTGTTATTGTTTATCTAATTGTAATTGTTTTTCTTTTATTTGCACCTTACCTCTACATAGCTTTGAATAACCTCTTCTTTGTTGACTGAGTGAATACGATGCAAGATATCAATTATAATTTTAACAATATTAAGTGATACATCTTCACTGGTTGTGGCCATGAGAAGGCGTAAAAGTTGCGTCATAAGTACCGGGAAAAATCTGATAATATCACTTATTTCAGAGTCTTGCAGGTTTTTCAGTATTTTTGGCATTCCATGCTGAATTTGTACAAATTTTGAAATCTCACGACCAGCTTCAGAACCAGTATTGGTAATTGTTGTATTGATTGAACCTGAACTTATGCTTGCAGTCTCAGCTTCTCTCATCTCATCGTTATTGTTTTTCATGTCCAATATTTTGTCGACATGAACCAAGAACGAATGAAGATGAGGATCACTTGGAAAGATACTTGAAACGAATTTGAAACCAACTTTAAATAATTCTCGTCCCCCATCAACCCATCTTATTTCAGGACCAGAAAACTGTCAAGAATTTTTGAGTGGTTCAGATAAGAAGAAAGAAAAGATCAAAAAGGTAATAACAACATTAATATGATGATTATTAATAATATTAACATTAACCAAAAAAGGTTGTATGACAAGATATTGAAGAGTAAAAAGAAAGAAATTAGAGAGGTGGAGGGAAAGGAGAAAGGAAAATATTTCAGCATCAAAAGAAAAAGAGGTTATATAAGAAAGGAAAATCGTTAATGATAATGATGATGATGAGCAATGAAAATAGTTATTAATTAGCTCTATTAATAAAATGCTTACCCCTTTGCCCAAGCCTAAAGGCTTATAAGAAAGGTATCCTGGAGGAAGGTGAGATGAAACACAAATACTTTGCTCATCAAGATTGAGTTTTCCTCGGTTAGGATATATGGGAAGCCAAGAGTAGCCGATGGGTGTTTCAATGGAAGATTCTTTCTTTTTGTGAGACGATGTGGAACACGAAACATGATAAAAACTGAATAATAGATGTTGTTTCTCGTGCAGAATAACGGGCAGAGCAATTTTAACTTCCTCATAAAATTCTGGGTTCGATGAATGGTGGGTAATCGATGTTGTCACTCGAGAAACAAATTCACGATTCTCGGTACAAGGGCGACCAAAGATAACTGGTAATGGAACTGCATTTTCATCATCCGACTCTCTGAATTCAATGGCACAGCAAATATTTCGTGCCTTAGCAAAAAATTTTTGGCTATCATATTTGAGGCACTTGGGAAAAACATAGAGCAAATTGACATAATGGGTAAAGGGTGAGGCTATACGAGGATTGTTTTGCAAAAATTCTTGAACTTCTATGATAGCTGGTTCAGAGGTTGGTGTTTTAAATGGCACAACTGGAAGGTGGGAACTAGTTAGAACAGCGTTGGGAACTTCAGTGGCTGAATTGGTCAATTCTTTCAAAGTACAACTAATTTTACCAGGTATAACGGTAACGTTTCTTAGCTTTTCATTGTTTTTCAATTCGTTGAGGTGTTTAATTAAATCTTCATCACTTAATTTGTTGTTTTCCTGTCGATAAATAAGACCAAAGTCGGACGAAGTGTCCAAACATTTGGTTGATTTAAATAATGGCTTGACTGCCCAACCAAATGGCATCCGGTATTGAGTTCCCATCCGTTGACAAGTTGCTCTAGCTGATTTGTGCATTTTAACACCCAGTTTACCAATACCGTTTTCAGATGATTTGATATACCCATCACTAGTTGATGATATACTACCAGTCAATACTTTTTCAATTCTCAAAACCAAATACATATCCGGACTGGGTGAATGGATGGAAAAAATTGCTGATTTTGGGTCAATCACCCAATCATCAGTGAACTCACGGGCATCTTCCATGTCCATTGAGTCATGTCTTTCTAATTTAGGTTTTGGAAGCATTTCTTTAACTAGAATATCATTTACATCGAATCTGAATTCTTCCGTTATCTTTCCTCTTTTTGCATCAAAGACAGCAACTGATGTGAAAAATGGTTCAATGTGGCAAGTATTTCCATCTATAGTTGTTTTCAAATTAAATTCAAAGGTATCACAGGTAAACATGAAACGAAAGCCGAACTGCTCTCGGTAAGGTTCAACCTTTTTGTTGGGTCTATACTTCAGTTCAATAAATGATCCTCGGCGAGATTGTAAATCGGGATAAACTAAAAATACATTGACTCTGTCCTCTTTACGTTGTTGAGCAATGGAGTATTCAGTTTCACGAGAATATTTCATGAGCTCCGGATTTTTAGAAAACTCTAAATTTCTCAGTGTACTATATTTAAGGGTTGGAGGTGGTGTCGATATTCCTTCAGATAGAGCAACACTTTTGCGACTGACTGTTTCAGATTTATTGGAAATAGCCCGGTTTAACGCTTCAAGCCATGAATCTAAATCGGATTCCGATTCAGTGGCAAGTATCACACTTTTATGTCCTTCAATCATACGTAGTTCAAATGCCCATTTGCCACGACGAGCATTACGAACTACTTGATGACAAAGGTCCAGATGTATAGAACCCTTTGATTCGGTTTTTCGTTGGTCTTTGAAAAATTCTAGCACATAAGTATTGTCAACTTCAGGACGGAGACACATCCAACGTCTTTTAAATGATTTACTTGTCATTGACATGAAAGCACTGGTTGCAGTTTCAGATCCCCTTAAAATATATCCCTCTTTTGTTATACCTCCGAGTGCATTGTCATGGGCTTCTCGTTCACTATCTTCATCATCATCATCAATTTCATAAACTTGATCTTGTAAGTTGGCTTCTTCGTTCAATCTAGGTAATTTAGGTAATTCAGTCCAGGAACCAGAATATTTTTCATATTTAAACTCAATGACACTCCAATCTCTCAAGAAACCATCGATGCATTGTCTTACATGAAGGGAAACCGGTAAGATGTTAGTGTCTATTAGTTTGCTTGGAATCATGATTTCATGGTCGTTATATGGCACTGGTCGAATAGTCCGCATTGCACGAGTTATATTTTTAGCTTCAAAATCATCCATAGGAAAGAGCACTAATTCACGCTGTGGGTCGTTCTGAAGGATTGTTCTCATTTTATTTATCAACTCTTCATAATCCAATGGTTCAACAATGAAAGGTCTAACCATTAAAGTTGTATGGCGAACAGCAGCAGAAACATTTTCACGGACAGCTGCTGCTGAGCCTGGTTTAGAGAGGACTTTCATAAACTTACGTTCAGACATGGTTAATAAAACAGAAGGATGTTATGAAAAGAAATAAAATTACAAAAAAGGAAAAGAAGATGATGGAAAGGGAAAAAGAGCAAGATGAGTAAAGAAAGTGATAGAAAAAGATTTCACAAAGGAAAGATTAATAAATTAGGCCTTTTCGTCACTTTCATCAAGGAATTGATGGAAATTGGATGAATTAAAGACATTAATCAAGCCCTTCAATTCATTTTGAACACAAATTTATTAATTGTTTCACCAGTATAAAGAAATAACATTGAGACTAAAATCCGACTGCTCAAAACAGCGCATAAGCACTCTCATTGAGGGTGTGTTTTTGACTAACCTGTAACAGTTTATTATAAAAAAAGCGGTCTTTTTAATTTTATGTTAGGTTAAACATCAGCAAAATTGTTTTAATTTTAATTTTGGAATCATGAGTAGTCATAAGTATTAAATATTTTCAATGACAATCTACAATTGGATTTGAATTTGTAGGTGACTTATCATCGGGACAAAGTATCAATCGAAGTGGTTCTTTGGTATGATTTCGATTTTCGTCACTAGCTCTGAGTTTCAACATTTCCTCTCTTAACTTATTGAGTATAGCATAGTTTGGATGATTAGCACAAGCAGTATTTTGAAGCTCAGTAATTTTTTGTTCCTCTTCTTTTTTCTCTTTGGGTGTTTTACAAGATCCTCTACCATATAATCTAAGTAGTGATCCCCATGAAGTTATTTGTGGATGGAGAAGTTGTAAAATTGCTTGGGCCGCTCTTTGTTTACCTTCTCTTTTATTGCGACAAATTACTGTTGCACTGTGTTTACCAACATTCATGGTGAATTCATTTCTTTGGTGTTTAATAAGTCTCACATCAGTCTTTATTTCAGTGTCACCCATTCCATAATTTCTTTTTAGGCACTCAACTAGAATCTGGTAAGGCGAATGTTGACCAGCTTTAGCGCATAATTCGCTGACTCTTTGGTCTTCTACTTTAATATCATCAAAGAAGGTTAGATCTTGCATGGAAGTGTCGACTTTACTATTTCCATCTTGTGTCATATCTCTTATATCAGGAATAAGTATATCTAATGTGGCTCTGGCTGCTTCTGCTTTAGCTTGTTTTTTACTACTTCCATAGCCCACACCATATTCCATATCGTTGATTAGAACAGTTGCACTGTATGGCATACTAGCGTTTTCGAGTTCTTTGAATACATATTTTGGTTGAACTCTTTCAGCATGTTGTACAAACTCATGAAGGATGCAAACAGCTGATTTACCAGCAGGATTCATTAAAAATTCTTTGCGATAATTCTTCCGGGCAGGATCACTAGATTCGGCATTTTTTGGGAGAGGGAATGTAATAAGTTTGGTACCTTCTGGCAGTGATGGTCTTTGCTCCATTTTTCTCATCTGAACGTGTTTTCTGCGGTCAGCCCACGTTTTAAATTTTCGAATGGTTATTTCTTGGAATGTAAAAACCTTGCTACAATAATCACGAATTGCAAGGAAATCTAAAGATTTTTCTTTTTTGGCCTCTTGAACACTTTCAACTTTTGCTAAAATAGGAAGTTGGCTATTACTTTCACTAGGAGTTTCTTCTACTTCTCTTGCCTTTTCTTTTTCGACTTCTCGTTTATAAGCAAGACATGGAATTGCTGACACCGGCACTTCGTGTTTTCTGGCACTTCCTGGACCCAAATAATATGGCTTGGCCAGCGTACAGACTCTTGATTGTTTATGGAGGTAAATAGGCATCCCACTAAAATGTGTTACTTCGATCCAACCTTCTGGAAGCATTTCAAAATAGTCTTTATCTCTTTTCTTCAAAACAATCTTTTTGCGCTCTTCGTGTCCCGGACCGGCACTTCCTTTCTTTAAACTTTCTTCCAACATATCATCGATTGTTTCTAAAGGTATGTCTGAATCAGAGTCCCAATTTTCATCATTTGAAATGGCGTCTTCTGAGGAGTATCCATTATTTTGCTCCAGCGATTCATCACTTATTTTCTGTTTTTTGGAAACAGATTCTTCTGAATCCTCAGCTTTGCGAACAACTGACATGCTGATATTTTTGAGCTAGATGGTGATGATGATGATAATGATAGTGATATATGAATGATTAACTTTGATAAAACAAACAAATGTGATGAGATTGGTTTTAAAGGCTAACACTTGCACAGGTAAGGCATAAACATTGAGTATCGATATGAGATCGGATCATTACAGATACTACTTTGAGTCAAATTCACTTGATTAATAAAATTTAGAAATTATTAAAACTTCAATTAATTGAAATATCATCTTAATTAACACTATATACCATAACTAGATACTTTAACACAACCCGAATAGCAAAAAAACTGTCAATAAATCCAGTGTAAGTCCATTTAACAGGGACTCGATATCAACTTCAGCCAAAATGGGGAACTCAATTTAATTGGTGAATTAACATATCACTAGCACTATTTAAAGTCGATTGTTTTCCTTCTAGCAACCCCTGAGCATTTCATCGTCAAAAATCAATTAAATTAAACTACAAGACTTGCGTTGGTGTTCAAGTCTAGTTGCTTAAATATCTAAAAGACTAGTCTACTGTCTTGGCGCTTTTTTCAATTTTTGTTAGTTTTAGTTAAATCCCAAATAAATAATCAAAGTAACTAATCAATTGTTGTTTCATTGTTATCTTAAATAATTGAAATCAAAACAAACAACCTATTTGGGGATAAATAAATCCATTATCATTGTTTTTAGAATAGCTCAGATCAAATCAGTTCATATTTGACGTCAGGATATTTTTCAATTTTCGTGCTTTTTCATTCTCATCCTTTTCTTTCCCTTCCTCCCTTTCTCTTAAGGATAACATCGCATAAATGACTGATGTTATTTGATTTTTTCTTCCTATTTTTTCCTATCCTCTGTTAACTTTAATATATTTTATTTTATAGACTTTACCTATCATTTAATGACTGGTTTCTGTTTTATTTTGTGATTCTGTCTCCATGTATGTGTTATGTTATCTTTTAATTTAAGACTCTACCGTGGTTCTAATTCACTTGACTTCCACTCCTGGTGATATGGATGCTAAAGAGGGCCAAGTACTTTCTATCAAAGATTTTTTTATGATATTCATCTCTCTTATTTTTGCTCTAATTACAACAGCATTTTTCACATTTTTATGTAAGTTAACAATCTCTATCACTATTCATTTAGTCACCTTTGGCTCTCAGGCTTTACTTGAAGACTGCTCACGAAACTTCACCCTTTTATTCATTTTCCCTTTGCTTATCTTCCAGGTTGGTTCATAATCTGGAAATTATGTCTCAGTAAATTTCGATTTTTCCAAGAAATTTTTGCTGGGATCACGAATGGTGATGCATCCCGATCCAATGCCAAACGAAAGACCCATGTGCAATGAAAAACCTAGTCTGGTAAGTATTTTTTATTCACGATAATCGCAAGGAAAACACATCTTTAATTATCTCTCTTTTTTCAATGTTTCTTCCTCTTCCCTTTCTCAGGTCTCAGGATTAGTTGACGTGGGGATTCACTTGAAATTAAGCGAGATTTCATTCAATTTGGCTGAAGAGGCCTTGAAAAGTGGCGAAGTTCCTGTTGGTTGTGTTATGGTTAGGATTAAATCACCAAGTAAATTGGTTTTATGTGATAAAGATTATGAGATCATCAGCCAAGGTAGAAATAGAGTAAATGCATCAAAGAACCCTACACGTCATGCTGAAATGGAATGTATCGATCGTATTTTGAATTGGTCTAAGGAACAGGGGATAACGGATTTAAAAGAAATTTGGTCTAGCTTGATAGTTTACGTGACTGTTGAGCCATGTATCATGTGTGCTCGAGCATTAAGGTCATTAGGAATCTCCAAAGTTTTCTATGGATGCCCCAATGAAAGATTTGGTGGATGCTCTTCAGTTATGAATGTTCATAATGATAATTCTATATCTGATCCTATCATTGATTGCTTTCCAGGAGCCTTAAACAAATCACAAGCTATTGATTTGTTGAAAAAGTTCTACATGGGAGAAAATCCTAATGCTCCAGAACCAAAGGTTAAGAAAAAAAGATTGGTTGAATGATTTATTTTCTCTTGTAAAATAGCTGTACTTTTGTAATTTCTAATGAGTGTACAGATAAAATGACCAGATTATTCTTCTATACACGTACATCTTATTATTTTATCTATCATCGCTCTTAATCCAAACTCTATACTCATGTGATCGATCATAAGATTATCAGATTGTTATATAACATACTTGAATTACGTGTGGCATCTCTAACATAATTTCATAAAAATGATTCTAAAAATTGAGTTATTTTATCAACTGTTGCAGTTTAATTTAATGGGTATGAACAAATGCTATTTGTATGAATATTTTACAGTTTGAAACAAATATTCAACAGGATATAATAATACTTTTAAGGCCTAGAAAAATATCAGCATAAGGCAAACAACTAAACATTGTTCGATTCAACGTCATGAGCTGGAAATTTGATATCACCATTACTTGTGTCAATTGAGTGAAGTTCACTCTGAGCTTTACTATCAATATTTATAGTACTTTTTGACTCATTGCCATTGCAGATACTATTGGTTTTGTCCCTGGTATCAACAGTTTCATCCTCAACACCCCTACCATCATTCGCCGAAAGACTGACAAAAAAGGCGATTGTACCAATGGAACAGCCAATCATCAATAATATACAATGTACATGGAGTCCACAACCACTTGAAAACAGGTTCATTGTCGCCATAGTCGCTGCTTGAGCGCTAAAATAGATTCCAAAAGGAGCGGCCGTGTTTTCAGGATAATGTTTGACAATAGTACGGAACAGCTGAGTCTGATAACAGCCGTCAACAAATCCTAATAAGGTAGCACAGAGAAGTGCTAATGGTAAACTGTTGAACGAAAAGCAAACGAAAGGATAAGGAGAATAATGTGATTGAATCTCCAACAGGAATGGCTGATAAATAATTTAAAAGGACTCATTTACTCACTTTGATTTTATGATTGCTAAATCATCAGTGTCAAGTCTATTAGCGTTGTTTGGAAGATTGACATAAAATAGAACTAAAAGTTAGCAAAGTCAAAATATAACCAATGAACAATAATCGTTCGGCCTTCTTATTGTTACGAGTTAGAAAAAGTAATACGCCAGCAGAAAATTCACCGATACCTAAGAATAAGAAAAAAATGTTATGGAAGGTATTATTGAAATGTTGAACCTTTTTCATTTTCTAGGTTATTAATCGGTCAAATTGAGATTACTTACCCAAGCAGATTCCACTCTCGCCTGCATATTGTTTACGATTAACGCCAAAAACTTTTGTATAACCAACTGAAGTTGGATACAAATTGGACATGAATGAATATATTTGACCTGAAACAAATATAATGAATATAAATGAATGCAATCTGAGTAATCTGAAGATTGAAGAGAATGGATTCAGCCTATTTCTGACAAATAAAAGGTTTCTTTACCAGTGTATAAACAAGTGATTGTCAAACAAGCCATCCTTTTGGTAGTCAATAACTGGAATGATTGCTCTGTAAAAGAGTATAAATAATCATCATTAGACAACGAGCCAATTCAAAGTTCTACCAAATGTCCCTAATAATACTTGAAACTTTCTACTAACTGAGCACTTGAACTGGTGAAGGAGATTTAGCTGTGGACTTGGAAGACCTTAAAAACATCGTGCAAACAACTCCAATGAAACCAAATCCAACCAACACAGGATACAGAATATTTCGAGTTTCACGCGGAATATTTTCTTTACCACTGAAAAGAAGGCTGACCAATGTACCGCCCGTAATAGGTGCTAATTGATATATTGCGTAGCAAAGTCCAGTATCTCGAGAATTTGTTTCCTTTGAACTGACGAGACCCAAATAAGATCCTTGGGCAATCAGTAAAACTGTTCAAAAAAGGTCAATTAATTATCCGTTTGAAGACAACTTCAATCTTTTAACTCACTTGAAGTAGATGAGCCAGTCATAAATGCCGCAGCAATCAGGCCATATTTAAAGGGATAAAGGTAGGTTGAAAGTGCAAGGCTGAATGAGAAAAAACGAATGAGTTTCAAAAGTCAATCAATACGAGTCGCTGTCATTACCTGACTCCAACTCCACCTAATGCGAGTGACAATTTTGGACCAAGTTTCGCTATTAGTGGCGGGGCAAGCCAACAGAGAATTGCCGTTGTAAAGTAAAGAATTGATAATGACTTGAATCCATCCCATTCATATCCATTCCATTTTGCTGAATAATCTTTATTAATTGAATCTGACATAAGTTCCTAAATAGTAAGATATAATAATGAGCATGTTTTGAAAAACAGTGAAAAGTAAAGAATTTTAAGATTTCTCAAAACTGAAAACATAAATGATTAGGTAAAACTGGTTTGTCCATTGGTTACTGAACATCAGATGATTTTCTTGTTTAACGTTTAGCTTTTGATTAATGAGAGGTATTTAAGTGACTTATACTTGTGACAGAAGGCGATTAAAGATTCAATTAATTGTCAGTTTGACTGATTGAAAGGAGGTTAGAAAAGAGAAAAATGTTAAACAAAGAATCAAAACTTACCTCGATGTTATTTCCAGTTATATAAGGTATCAATAGTAAGAAGAAAACAAATGCAAAATATAAAACTGATTTTAATGATCCTTTTTTTTCTTCCGCCATTTCTGATTTACTTGTATTGTTGTCACAATATAGTCAACTTGATCAACTCAACTATGTTCAATTTAGTAAAAGGTGTTGAGGTAAAGAGATGTTTGCTTTTCATTGTTCAAACCCTTTTAGCTTTATATACAGCTCAAGTAATCTGTAAACTTTAGCTACTTTAGGGTCCAAACTTTCCTTGATAAACTGATCTCTGGGAGTTGTACACTAATCGATATCACGCTCCTGCTAACAATTAATTATAACATTAATTTAACATTGAAATATGTTGCTTATCTTTCACAACTTTTGTAACATTAACATTGTTAGTACCTACCTTGAGAATTGATATTAAGGTTGCATAAAGTCTGGATTAAAAACAATTGATTGTAATATTAATAATGGATTAAGATGGCTTTCTGCTCTTAATCTCAAACTATTCAGCCTCCATTGGAATACTAAATCCCATCAGATATGATGAAGATACAAGGTCTTTCAGAGAACAGGTTAACTTTGCACCAAAATACCTCGAGAACTACAGGTCAGCTCGAGCGAGCCAACTTTGTATTGATGAGCTTCACAGCGAATTTTTGATGGACTATTAAATTTCGATAAAAATGTACAATTTTAGCCTTCTACGCCTTCTAATCTTTTAGATTAATCGAATGAATATCAGAGTCTTTTCTTTGTGAATCATTTGAAGTTCCGGGTATTTAAGAGTGACGCCAGAGCAGTTATTCATCTACAGAGTGATCGGAAAGTTTCTGGTGTGAGGTGCTTTTTCCCCTTCTACGCACAAAGACACTGTTTGATTTGGTATTTTATTCTCTTCTAATAAGGCCTCACACCACGCATCAAAAACTTTCCGATCACTTTGTAGAGCAATAAATAACGAGATAAACAACAATCCAAAGAAATTTTCTGGCTTTTGTTATCCTTAAAACATGGTATGTAAGTGATGGAACACATGTATCATCATTAATTTATGATCAACAGTAATCTTTAAACAAACTCTCGAAAATAGTGCAATACTCAAAGCTAGTTATTGCTTGGCTTCGGAAAATGATATCGAACTCGTTAGAAAGGACGAAAACTGCCTGAATTAGCTCCAGCTCTTTCTAATGAGAGGTTCGTGGCATTATGTAAAGCTAAAGAAAGCTGAGGAACTAATTTGGAAAAAAGCAGGATAAGGCAGCTAAGCGTTCTGGACTTGTGTTGGACTTCAGTTAGCGTTTCTTGTGGAACCCATAAAAGATCAAAAATTTAATGGTTTTCGCAGTAAATTCAATAAAAAATTATATTAAAAACTAATTCGAAGTTTGATTTAACATGTGAAACGAAATACCAAAGTCAAATGAACACGGGACAAGCACAAGAATTATGTGGTTACTTAATAATATTGTCATATAAACTGATATGAAGCTTTTCGCAGTCATGGTCAATGTAATAGAATCAGCCAAATAACCGAAAAACTTTTAGATTGTTCAGGATAAGCAAAGTGATAATTCAGTCCCAGTATTGAGGCTTATTAAAATCATATTTTGTAATAAGATATTTATGAACATTAAAATATTTTCAAACATTAAAACAGAGATTGAAGTTTAATGCTTAACTCGGTGATTAATTAAAGTTGAGTTTGAAAGAGAGTGTGATAATTAACATTTGGCTTTTGTCTCCATTAAAACCCAAGCAAACAAAACCAGAAAAGATGGAACCTATTTCACTATACAATTAGTACATTTATTAATACATATTTTAATAATAATAGCTGCATGAGTAAACTTCTCAATCTTGAACCGCAATAATTAACATGATAATCAAAATGATTGTATGAAATCGGTTAATCTTTTAGGTTGAAAATTATTGGGTTAACATTTTAGGTTCTAGGTACCTAAATGGTTACCTAAAGTTGATTTAAGATAATTTCAAAAGATTGATCTTTTAACATGATTTTACTATTAGACATTTTGTTTGCTTCCAAATTTGGTTAATTGTGTGTTTGGCTAAATGAACCAGTTTACTTTAGTACTGAAATCAAATGAAATGATATAATTTTCAAACTCAAAATTATTCAACTGATCAAATTTTTAAGTAATTGTTAAATTGTAAACTCTTTTAGTGATCAATAATGATGAATGGAGCGCGAAAAATTGGTAAATTGAATCTAATTGAATAAAATATGTCTCAGTGTAAACTTTATTATGATTGTGATCAACTCTAGAGGCAAAAACATTTTTACCTAACCATGTAAGACCCTTGAGAGATTCAGTAACTGTCAAAAAAGTAATAAAAAATAATGATAATATTAGAAAATACAATTTCTTATTTGATATCAAACATTTACTTTACAGTTTTTCGTCTGTTCCAATGAGTTTGGAATTTCTTCTGGTTTAGATTCTGGAGCAAAGGGAAAATTGAAAACAAAAAGTAGCCCAACTGTTATTTTATCAAATAACAAATAAGCTGACTAATGACAATTTTGTGAAATGACAAATTGGAAAAGGACAATTTAAAAGATCACAATTTTGAGATGAAAATTTAAAAATGACATTTTAACAGCTGACAATTTCGGCTTCTCAATCAACTGTTCAAACTGTGATCAATTATGGACCAGTCATTCAATCAAATTAACAATTGATATTAATGAGTTGTGAGTTGATATTAACCAATCAATTATTTTATTTTTAGCTTAATTTCAGTTATTGATGGACACAACTTAATTTGTCTGAAATTTAGCTAATTGCAGGGTTTAACTCATTTTTGATGACAATTCATTATCAATCATTACGAGCTAACCTCAAACTCTGTTGGTTTAGCTAGCATTTATACTTTAGCCAAAAGGCAATTGGAATCTAAAAGACAAAGCAATTTAACTTATCAAGTTTAGTTGTTGAATTGAGATTCAAGGATTGAGTAAAGCATTAACAAATTGTGTGTGCTTTAAAAACGTTAACAAACTATCAAAAAGTGGTTATAAGAGCCAACATTGAGCCATGCTCAGTTGATAATATCACATGTGAAAATAAAAATAAAAACTCTTGAGGTTCAGTTGTATCATAGGAATAGAACTGATAAGGACAGAGAATAACGTGATTGTTTAAGGCTGAGAGAGAATCAAAAGAGTTGAAAATTTTTAAGTTTCCCTGTTTTTGTGACAAAAGGAGAAATTAAAGTTTTATCGTCACCATAATCATCGTCATTAGAGATCATCATTATCTACATAATCATCATTATTATTGATATTTGTTTTATGCCCAAAGGGTATTATTTAAGACCAACAAAGGAACGTTGAAAAGTTGCTTTCAAGATGTTTCGCTTTTCCTAGTAGTTGATATCGTTCCTATTTGAGTGGAGCTGAGTTTTAAAGGAAAAACAATGGATATGTTTAGATTGATTGTTTCATAATTATCCACATCTTTTTTCACTGTCAACTTACATTGAAAAAGTCAACATTTAATTGATCATCATAATCATCAGCGCCATCAATTGTTTTGCCACAAATCAACTGGATAAGTTAATATTGCCATGTTTTTCTGGTACAATCCAATGTGTCTTAACCTTTGATTATTTGCGTTTTCTTGTCAACAAATGCATCAGCCGAGCACGAATCAATGCTAATCCATAATAATTATAAACATCGTTTCCATTTCCCATATCATTGCCATCATCTTTTCAATTGTCAATATCGTCGAAACAAAAGCGCAACAAGTTACATCCAAGTTCATGTGATGCGTCCTTATTAATATAAATCTGTGTTAATCTTTCCTTTATTATGATGTGTATGTTCATGTTCAAAACCATTCACCCGCGTATTTATTATCTTAATCTAGTTATATAGATTAACTCGTTGTGGTTACGAAGTCACCATCACTTTAGTGAATACGAGATAAAAATTGACGTTGAATCTGATTAATATCAAATTTGATCGGATCAATCAATTCCAGGAACAATTCATCCATGGAGTTTGATCAATTGGCTGAAATTTACCCAGATTCCATCGAAAACTCAACTTTCAATATCTTCTCATATGATTATGATCTTGAAGCATCCTTGAGCACCTTTGATCTTTATGATCTCATTCCAACGGCATTAGTTTATGGGATTACGCTGATTACCGGTCTTATCGGTAAGTCTTGAGACATGTAATTATTTATGGCACAAAAGTCTGAATCTCAATGATAATCCAAATCTTTATAATCACGTTTTCGTGAAATAAATTTCTTTTCCGTCAATAATTGTTAACTTCCTTCACCTCTTAATGAAGCAAGTGTTTTTCCTCCATCCACCAAAACACACCAACATTTTTTTTCATGTGATCTTGCAACAGTTACGACAATTGATATGACAAGTTGAATAGTTGATCCAATCTGTAAGAAAAGTCAAGAAAAATTGAAATGTTAGATTCACTTTCAGTCAAGATTAGAATAATTAAACACCAAAAGATGCCAACATACAGTAAAAAGATATGAAAAGTAAAACTTGTCAACACTCGATCCAAATCAGATTAAGAGAACCCCACCAAATTAAAACGATCAAAGATGTTAAAGATAATACGTTTATAAGAGTTAGTTTAAATCTTAAAATATTAAAGCTGATTTAACACTGATTAAATAAATCCAATTCACTTTATGCAACTCAACTTTGGTTAGACAATAAAATGACACAGTTACTCATCAAGTCCATGTGCTTTAACCCTAACAGTGTCACCATCTATAATTAAAATTTTAACATTGAATAAAAAACGAGTTTCCAATTGACTGAGAAAATCATTGATCAGTTTTTGATGATAGATTGCAGTTGTTGTTACAATAATTAGCAGAAAATCCAATAATGATTATAAATAATGCAAGAAACCAAACCAGATAATAAAAGGGTAACTTCAATCATAAATAACGATTGTCCAAATTAGTTTTCCCTTTCCTTATCAAGGTTATCAAGTGTTTAAGCTTTCTTTTTAAGCCAACAATCAACCATTTTTCCAGTGAAAATACCTCATCATTAAACATTTTTCAATTTCAATCAAGCAACATAAAAAATTAAACTAAACACTGATTTGTCTGAGAAGCAGAAAAAACAAGAAAAGGTTGACTCTTGATTATTTTAACCTAAGGCCATTTTCAAAATTTGATCATGAATCAAATGAGCAGAAAACATGATAAAAATCTGTAAACTCAAACACCAGCCGCCACTAAATAATCAACATTAGCGATAATCTTACCTCTGTCAACCTTTAATAATCTTCAATTAAACTAATCACATAACAATCGGATGAGTTTCACTTTAATAACAACACAATGGAAGACACTATTGAGCATGAAAATTAATAAAACGCTCAAAAGCCTTCTTTTGTTAATAATGTTGACAATTATTAAACATTTCATAAATAGCTTGAATAAATTAACTAAAACTGTAATTATTTAATTAATATCATAATTGAGCTTTGATATGAATGAACATTGTTTCTGCTCATTGAATTGTCTTTCAATGAAAATTGCTTCAACATTGTTGCCTCGTTTCAGCTCACAGTAGGCCTTTTTGATTAACTAGATTGCTGAGCTACAATTTTTTCAAGCTGATGATATTTCAAGTGATAATGATCATGATGATCATGTCTTGTGTTAGATTTTACAGGGTAAAAGTTGGCAAAGCAGCTTAACACCATCAACCTCATCATTATTATCATCACTCTTAATCTTTACTTTAATATAAAATAAAACGATCTTCATTTATGACTTTACCCAAATCATTTGACTATTAAACATTTGAAATGCAAATATTGTGAAAAAATGCACAAAAAACATGTAATTTTTTTCTCATTTGTATAACCATGAAATGGAAAGTGAGGAACATGAGAAACACTCAATTAGAAAATGATTTTAATGATTATCTATTGAATGGAAATTATTTTTTCTCTCATTCAAACCAGTTTCAGGTTTAACTTGAAAACTGTAGTCAAATGAACCAGAAACAAATGGTTTGACTTAAGTGAATGCATTAATGAAATAACTTTCACTCGATCAAGTGTCAACCCAATTTTAACCTGATTTTTGCTATTTTCACCTTTCCAATTCATCATTCAGTCCATCTTTGTTGTTTAAATTAAATTGTTCATCAAGTTGATATCATTGAGTTGTTTTCAAGTTGAATAAAAAAGGAATCAAATGAAATCGTCAGGAAAACCAGGAAAAACAAGAGACAGAAAAGTTGAGAGCTTTTTTCATCTCTCCATTGCCTTAACTGAACCTCATTAATACTTATTCACAATTTAATTAATTTACACTCTTTGACAAACCTTTTTTTGGATCATCAAGTAATCCTTTGCGTATTGACCAGAAACATTGTGAATCTCATGTTGATTCAATCTTTACTTTTATGGTTATCCTTTTGATTAAGATTGATGATCTACTATGGTTTGAATAGAGATCAGTTTAACAAAAATCACTAATAGTAATACATTGTACAGTCAATTTTCACCTGATAGATGAATATAGCCTTTAATGGCTTGAATCAGGATAAACCTTTCCAAACTTTTGTCTACCAAAGATCAGTTTTCAATTTGCTTTTCATTAAATCTTTTGTCAACAATTTTCATGAAATGTTTAAATTAATTCAATATCTTTTATCCATTCATTTTCTTTGGAAAACAAGTTTGGACATTTAACATTAGAATGATGTTGAAGTGATTTCAAATGAAGGTTCAGTTTCAATCAAAATGACCTTTTCTTGATATGATTGAAATGGATAGTTGAAGTAATAAGTTATTGTGGGAAGTTTGAACAGCAGAGTTTTGATGGAAATATTCAGTTGAACCTTTCAATGCTATTTACGTCTTGCATTGTCAAATTTGATGGTTAGAGTTTTGGATATTTAACGATTAAATCAACAATTTTGTATCTTAATCTGTAAGCAATCTGTTAACATCTCATCAGGTAAAAAGCAAAAGTTAACCTGATCTGAACTTTTTGTTGGCTTACTGTCTTTGCATGCTAATGATCATCTTCATGATCATTCCTTTCGTCCCTCCTTCACGTTGTAACAATGTTCATTTGGGTAAACAAGGACAACCAGGATTTCGGTGTTGCCCGAAATCAGATATGCATGACTAGTCAAGGAGTTAACTGGTCCTTCACCAAGGATGTTATTCACCCTTAAGGGCCTGGATAGACCTCGATAAAACATAAATCAACACAAATTTTCATACAATAACTATTACTAACAATATAACAAATAAACTTAAATCCATTTCCTTACAGTTATCCATGATTGAGCTAAGAAAAAGGGAAAAACGAAAAACTATGAAAAATGTAAGATTAAATGTTTTGCGTTTCGAGCAAGTTGATGTTTATTAGGATAAATTAAATTTGTTGTTACAGTAGTAATGCAAAGTAAACTGCTAACGAGCATTAACTTTATCTGACAAAATCAGTTGAATTAACTTTGAATAAGATGAGACGAAACTCTGAGATGAGGTAAATGGTAATAAACTTCAAGTCAACCTTTGTAGTCAACTGTGAGGTTTATTAATGTGTTTAAGTACTGAATTTTTGTACTGAATCATATTCAACCATGAGATTTATTGGGATCACTTACGATTAACTTACGAATCAATTTACTAGTAGTTAATATTAAATGTATAACTTGTTTTGGACAATCGAAATGTATCTTTCCAAATTGGACTTACCGACAACAAACATCATTAGAAAGATACACGAGTTTTCTGAAAACAAACCTGTCTCAATGAAGGACACTTAAACATTCATATCTATTGATTAGATTCATTAGCATGCTATGTAAAGACAGAAAATTGTGAGACTCAAACAGTCTGATATCAATAACGATGACTAGAGAGCCGACATTTCATGAGCCTATTGAAAGGTAAACATTATTCTAATAAAAAAGTTGTAAAAGTGTAAATTGTTATGTAAAATGTATATTATTTATATGTGGTTGTTGCATTAAGACATAAATAAAGAAATCAAACGTTACTATTAATATTTAAATTAGCATATAAATAAAAGGTGGGAAGAATAACCTGCAATTTGAAATAAAGTGCAGGGAAAATGAAAAACCTAACATTAGGAAATTGGTTTTGACCTTTCATGATAGTTTAAGAGTGTTGAAAAATATGCATCAGATCTGATGTGCTTTTCACAGGGTAAAAAAGAAATTTGAACATTCATTTCCATTGAGTAAAACTTTCAAACGATATAACAATGAACCGCAGGTTTATGGGAACTTGCAAAGCATCATTGGAATCAGCATGCAAGCTCGATCTGAAAAGTTAGGTCTAATGTGGTCTTCATTGGGTACTATGAAATTGTTGAATAACTTCCGGGAACTCGGATTTCGATCTCTTTTGATTTCATTCGATCGATCACCGAAACGATGAAGAAATGCTGATTGGCGATACCGTTACCCGCGATGTGACAAGTTGAGAGTTCAGTGTAGCTCCAGGTTCAAGAATAAGAGTTTGATTTATTGGCTCATCATTAATTGTATAATGAAAAATAAATAAAATGTTCAATTTGGATTGAGAGCTATTTTTAGAAAATTCGTGGAAAATATGGTGAAATCAAATGAAAAAGTAACCACTTCATGCTGCTAATCTTGAAATCCTGATAATTCATCAGTGTTTAAACTTGAACAGAGTTTCATGAAGTTGAAAGATAAGCCAATTCTAGTCATTTGTCCAATCAATTAAAGTTGATACAATAATAATGCAAGTGATGATGGTTTTAAAACTTGAAGTCATTGAAGTCAGTCTTGAAATTAATTTCACAAATCTGTCAAAGGGCAACGTTTGAAGTAACAATAATCGTTAATCATTGAAGTCAACATTCGAGTGTCATTGATACAGACTTGAGTAAACATTATCATGGTAATAAAATCAAACCGATACAAGTTCACAAGCCAAATGAAGTCAGTCCAAGACGACTGTTTCATCCTCCATCCAAACTAATGAGGCACAAAATGAATGTCGAGTAAAACTTATTCCCATTCCTCCTCCTTCCTCATCATTATCATCAACATCTTTCCATTTTCCTCTTGTTCATCCATGTTCATCATATTCTTGTTCAGATGTTGTTGTCAATTGATTGTAAAGAAACAAGAAAAAACTACTTTCATTGTAAGCCGAAAAAAAACAAACAAAGTAAACCTTAAATGAAGATATAAAAACAAGCCATTTGTGAACCTCATTATTGTCAATTGTTTATCTTTCATAAGCATTGCCATCAACATCATTCCAGGATTTTATATCTTCATTATTACTTTCATTTGCCGACGAGTTTTCAATCAAATCATTAACCTCAAGCAAAATGTTGACAAATTTCGTTCTCTCCAAGAACGGATTTACGATCATTATGGACAAGAATAAAGCTAATTACAATCATTAATCGCCACAAAATGAAACATGTTCAACAAAAGAACACAAAATTGCTAAAAAAGTGATTGTAATCGGCTTAAACTCAACACTAGTTGATCATTTGACTGAATAATTTTAAAAAATGAATTCTCATGATAAATGTAAAATGTGATAACTCGATAATAAAGATACTTTATTATGATATTGCTAATGTATATTCATAGTTAATTGAATAGTTAATATCAATATTTACCTTGATTCTTAATTCTTAGTCAATATAATATTCGTTCTAACCTTTACTCAGTTCAATAAACGTTATTATATTTTATCTGTTTTCTATCATTACTATCGTTATTATCATTTATAAATACATTTGTTTGATTATCCTTTGATTTATCAATTCTTTATTTATGTTCAGTTCATCATGTATTATCAAATCAAACATGGAAGTAAAGTGGAAAAAAGTGTAACAATAAGTTGTGAATAAAAATAGCCAGACGAAGTAAATAATAATTGTTGAGAAAAGGTAATAACAAGAAAAGCCTGTTAGACAATAACAGATTAAATCTGATTCTGGAAAAAAAGAGAAAAGAGAGATTATCTTCTGATTCTGATAAATGAACTTAGGTGTTCATATTTTTCATTATTTTTCCTCTTAAATCTCTTTTTTTCTCAAAACCTTTCATCCATTCCTTGTCATATTTGTCCATCTAATTGACCCAAACAATCAGATTTTCATTTTTATTGAAATTCCAACAAAAACAAAGTTCAATTTCAAAATGAGATTAAAAAGTAATCCATTTCAAACAAAATAATGGATAAGATGGAAAAAATCGAAATAATTTTTCTCTTTTTCAACAATAAATTCAGACATTTACATCACTCGAAACTAATAACTTGGCTTCAACTTTTCTGAACCTTCGACTTCCATTGAGATCAGACTAAAGTCATCTTATCAATTGAATAACGAACAATTCTTTACTCTTTTCTTTCTCCAGGTAATGGACTAATTATATACACAGTCAGTCATTTCAGGCGAATGCGAACACTTTCAAATGTTTTCCTCGCTTCTCTGGCTTCAGCTGATTTACTGCTAATCATAGTCTGTGTACCTGTTAAGGTGAGTTTCTATGAAAAATCTATTATTCTATTCCCATTGAACAGTTTTGGAAGAATAAACAGAACAAGAATTGTTAAGGAAAACAAAAGCATTTCAAGCCATTAATCACTCTCAACATTGTAACTCTTTACGAATAAGTTATCAATAAAATGCTCAACTCATCATATCCAATCATCGTATTAAGCTCTTTGCTAATGCTGTTTAAAATACATTAGTTTAAGCTCGACTTTTCCTCTCTTTATGCTTTAGCCCTTCCTTGGTTTGACTTTGTTGACGATTCAGAGCAACTTCCAAGTGAATGTAAAAAGTTTACTTAAGCTTGAATAAATTCAACATTTTTGTTGCGAAAAATGTTGAAACTAGAAAAGAGGAAATCAATTGATCTCTGATTTCAACAGCAACCTGAAAAGTCTTTAGAAACTCATGATATTGCAGTTTAGAGGGAAGAAGAAAAAAATTACTTTACATTTCATTCCAACAATCGTATACAATGTGCGATGAAAAAAACATTTCATGTAAATGACCAAAAGTAAGTAAAAAAGGTTTGATTTGTGGATGAAAGGGAAACTCTTTTTTTATCAAATTTGATTTATTCACCTTTGTGTTGGTGAAAAGGGAATTTTTTCAACTGAGAAATGGAATGAAAAGAATTATGAAATTTTTTTTACTCAACTGATAATTGATCATTTGCATCTTCAATCCATTGACTGGAAACGCGGCTGGTTACGAAATACAGAAATGTATAAGCAAGAAAAATCGAAATTGAAATTGACTTTGAGTTTGGTTAAAATATCAATGTTTAATCATTATTCAAGTTTATTCATGCAACTTTCAAATATCAAGTTGAAGTAATTAAAATGTATTCATCGGAAAGTTAACGTATTTATTAAACTTTTGATTTTTCCATCATTAACAGCGATTAATCAAGTTGATATTGATAATGATTATTATGATAATCAATCATTCAGCTTGTCAAAAAAGTGTTTAACCGTTGAAATGGCTTATTCAGGTTAATCTTTTGGCGCATTTCTTCCAATTCAATTATTTTCTCGTTCTTTTGTGTTGATATTTTATCGAAATTTTGAATAGATTAACAAAGATTTCAAGGATTAACAGGCAAATGGTTAAGTTGGTTTTGTCAAGGCAAACTATTCCAGTCAGAATTGAACGTCGAAAATGAAATTTGATCAATAATTGAAAAGAAACGAGTTTATATAGAAAAAGAAAAGTTTCATTCCCTGTTTTCACTCCCAGCATCTTGAGCTGTAAACAACTTTATTGTCAACATTTTTCAACTCTTTGACTGTAACAAATTTTAATCAGAATTTAAAGGTTACTTGAAATGCTTTTTTGAAACTTTTGTGATTTATCAAAAAAAACTTGTTCTTATATTTTTTGTTCGCATTTCTTCCAGCTCTTTTCCTTTCAATTTGAATAACTGGAAATATTTACTTTTTCAATGAAAGCGTCAATAGAATCAAATAACAATCTTATTTTGGGAATCATTTTAATGAGAATTTTCTTTTTCTTTTTGTCAAGTTTGGTCAACTTTTCTCATTTTCCTGGGAAATTGGTCCGATTCCATGTAAATTTGTTCATTACATGCAAAATGTATCAGCAATATGCTCTGTTTACACACTTACAGCAATGAGCATTGAAAGGTAAGACAAAGGATTTAAAATCTATTCTTTCATTATCATTATTTGATCAAAGTAAACAGTTTCATTGAGGGAATGATATAAGTCTTGATTTAACTAGAAAGTTGACTGCTTACAGTAAATATTAATTTGTATTATCAAGAGATGAATGGTAATGGATATCAATATAAATAGAATGTAATATTTACTTTTATAATCAGATATTATGCGATTCTGCATCCAGTGAAGAGCCGTTACATGTGCACAATGTCACACACTCGGATGATCATTGTATTAACTTGGATCTTCTCATTGATATCAGCTTCACCCATCATTCATTTGCAGGTAAATATACATTTAATTGAAACATTTATTGAAATGCTATTAATATTTGTAAATAAAAACATTCTGATGCTAATTTTAACTTCAATTTGGTCTATTAATAACGAATCTAACTTGGATTCATCATCAAATTGCATCATAGTTTTGTCATTTTTAGGACTAATAATACATCTAACAGTTTATACTCCATAAATTGGGAATCAAAGCTTTAATTTGATTCTATTTTTGCTACTTTGTCGTCACTTCAACTCATAAGTAATAGACAAACGATAGATGAGCTCAATAAAATATGGATTTGGGAAAAATGGATGCAGTTCGAAGAAAAAGTCGACTAAAAATGAAAAACAAAGAGTTCGCACACACAATTCTCATTGAAACCAATTTAATTTATTAAATCCATCAATGTCTTAAACTACTTCATATCAATTACGATATTTGCTTTATTTTGAAATTGATATGCAATTTAACTCCACAAAATCTATTAATATCTTTGAATTCTTGCTCGAATAAAAAGAGACATTTGAAGTTGAAATTGATAAAAAAATGGTCAAATTGTAGTTTATTTGCATTTGGATTCTCCAAACTGTCAAGATACGTTAGTATTGTCTGTATGGAATTGGCATGATAAACGGTTTCTGTACAATCTTTTGAAGCTACACTAATATCTGTACTAATATTAATGTGGGCTCTGAAATTTTTGTTAAGCATTTGAATATCAACTTTAATCGTTCAGATTTGCCGAAGATTAACATTGCTGCAGCAAACTTTTCTGTGGGAGTCATAATAAAGGTTTCAATGGAAATAGTGACAAATTTGATTGCAAACCGAATTATATGTTGATTGAAAACCATTCTGATTCAATAACATGATCTCCTTTCATATACTCAATCCATTGAGAGATTATCTTACTGAATGAGCTCGTCACAGAATAGGGAACTTACCTGTACATGATTACTCTGAATGATACTAATAACAGATTAATAAACAAGCTATAAATAGTCTGGATTCTTATGGATACTCCAATAGTTTGGTTACTTTGATGTATTGCATTACGCTATTAATACGTAGGGAAACAATCAGTGGTCCAAGTTATCAAATGAAATCCTAACACAGCAGTCTATTTCATCTGTCATAACTAATGCATTGATTTTAAGTCGATATTTAATTTCGTTGGAAATTCTTTGTTTTCGATATTCGTTGATCAGCTTAAATCCAGTCTTTTACAAGCCAAGTTTATTAACTTTTAATAACTTCAACATAACTTTCTAATTGATGTTTAAAAACATAATTCATTCGTTAAGAGACTTGAACCGACCTTAAATGGGATTCACTCGATTTGTTCAGTAAACTAAGAGTCAAATGTACTCTAGAAGCTAAATAGCAAGCCTCAAATCAAATAAATCGTTCAATAAACTAACTATGCAACTAACAAAACAATTATTTTAGCCCAAAACCAAATAGATGTTAACATCAGATCAAATCTTAGTCAAAGCAAGTGTTATTCAAATATGAATCAAAACCTTTGCAAGTCCCAAAGATCTCCGTAAAATACATTTCTAGGTGATACATTTGTAGGTTTAGCAGGAAATTTAACGAGCTAAGATGAGCATCTAAATAAACGATCAAAGTCCATCAAAGTTTCATCAAGTTTTAGTCAATTTCTTAGCTCTTGAATTCACTAAAATTAGCCTTGACTTCAACTTACACATTTTATCCAAATTGGATGCAAAGGTTTCTAAAAAGACGTTAATAGTCGAATCATGTTTGATGTTACACCAAAAAGCTGTCCATCAACTCGACTAACATACAGATGTTTACACGAATTGCTTGATCACTATCAAATTGCACCTGTCATGTTAAATATTTTATTGACATTTAAACATTTAAATCGCTCAATTGGTACTCACCTTACAAGCAAGCTTACAATTAATGCAATGAACAATTGAAAGTTTCTTGAGAAGAGTAGAGAAGAGTGAATGATATCAAATTAAATATTGACTAGTCGAAGCAAAAGGCAACTGAACAACTACTTCATGAAATAGTTTCATATCTGATGTTCACAGGAAAGGCATTCCATCCATTCAAGAATTGACAATGAAGCAAAAGCAGTAAAGTAATAGAGAAAAGAAACTCAATTTATGAGTTTATTTATTATTAAAATAAACTTTTCTTGTGAATAATAATCATTTTAATGATATTTAGGTGACAATAAAAGTCGTCTCTTTGTGTTATTCAACTTGATAATGATGTTTAAACTCGAAAATAACAAGATTGTCTGAAAATTCCACTTTCCCATCCTTATTATTATTCAATTTGATTAATGAATTGCCTTTAGCGAAGTTGACTGCTTATTTATAATTGTGACGATCAAATGAATGGTTAAAACGAAAAAATGTTGATAATGTTTCAAGGCTTCAAATTGATTGAGATTTGGCAATGAAATTTCATCGGATTCGTTGAGAAATGAAAAAGGGAAAAGTTTCTTCTTCTAAATCATTAATAACAACTGACAATCGATTGATATACTATAATAATATAAACGTATCAAGAGTTTCAGGATTAATCAAATGTAGCAATCACATTAATCATGTTCATCGAGTTTCCATGTTCATTGTGGTCAAAGCTGAACAGTTCCAAAGGCTTTTTATACTATTTATTGAGCTTCAGTTTCGTTCAATTTCGCTTAAATGTTTTGTGGTTTCCCTTTTCACGAAACAATATTAATGATGCTTTTGAGGAGGCAAAAAACAATTGCTTCTTGGACTAGTTGTTGATATAATCATCATTAATGACGATAATTAACATTTCAACGAATTGTCAATCATTTTAAACTCACCTGAGATTAAACAATTGGATAAAGGATAAAGTATATTGTTAACGTCCATTGTATTACATTATTTGTCTGTTCAATTGTTTAACTTGTTTTTCAACAGTTTTTTTGCGATTTTACTTCAAGTCGAAGGATTATATTAATAGCGGAATGCTCGAGGTTGTTCATTCGATCAGTTACAATTGTCTTTATTGATAGGCTTAATGAGGTGAGTTTCACTTGTCAATCAGGATCATCTCAGTGGCTATTAGTATCATTTGGCCATTAAAAATGTGACCATCCATTTAGTCCTCTAAAGATGTGCTTAACTCACGGTTTCATCTGACAACTAAACAGAAAAGTTTGACATTTTTCATTGCTTTTGCCAACTTTCAATGAAATGATTACTTCGAGTCTCGAGATTGCAATTGATTGATATTTAGCCATGATATTTGCAGTTTAATATTGATTGATTGGAAAATAAATGGGATTTGTTTTTAAAGTTTGAGACGAAAGTTTTATTGCATTAAATTTCGAATAGTTTCGAGCAATGGAACTCATTTTGATGGTCTGATATTTCACGTAATGCCAATGATGAGTAACGCTCGAAAAACTCTGAGCAAGATTCATAGTGGCCATATCCAGAGTAATAAGACTCATCAATCGCTTAGAAAGCGAGAATGTGCATTTAAAGACACAATAATCAACGAAAGATTGTTAGTTAATCGTTTTCTTTTGACTCGAGTTGTGAACGAACTTTCTAAACGAAGCACACTTGGAAAGCGAAGAACACTTTTTGCAAAGAATGGAAATAAGTATTCATCAAAGTGCAATATGTGTATTAAAATAGCCTTTAGTTTGATCAATTAAAATATGTTTCCACGAAATATTGTCATAAATTACGGCAACAATAGAAGCAATTATTACCAGAGGCAGTTGATGATCAAATTGCAATTAATATTTTGTTTTATTAATTTGTGTTCCCTTCGAGCAAATCTGCATAATTGCAAATATCTAATTACTTCTCAATGGAGATCGATCTTTGCAAAACTCAGTGAATTTGTTTTTCCCTTCCAATCTAGTTCCATACACAAACTTCTTATTCTTTTGCATGAAGTAACGATCAATTTCTAATTCAATACTTATACTTATTTAATAACAAAACATTTCAACAAATTCAAAGGATCTCTTTGATCATTAATTCTAATAAAACGTTAATTGTGGTTGATTTGATTTTTAATTAACTTCCATTCGCTTTGTTACTCTCTTTGATCAAACACTTGTTTTTCCCTTTCAAACAATCTATTAATAATATTGTTATTCAGAGTGATTGCAATTTTAATTAACTTCTAGTTAATCATTAGCAGTCGAATGCCAGCTTAAAATACATTCATCAATCCCTTTCAAGTTCATTCAGGTCGACAGTTCAACATTTAGAAACAATTTCAATCACAAATTATTCTCGAACTTTGTCTTTAACTTTTAATCTAATAACCTTTCGTCCATATTTTCTTTCGAAATATCTTTTCCTCTTACAAATGCGAAATGAAATATCAAACTATCAAAGCAATTCCATTGAAATTCAATCATTTCAAGGCAAAGACTTGTTGAATCTTCAGACATTTAATGTAAAAAGTCATGAAATTGAACATAAAACGATCATATTACAACATGCAAATCCTTTTAAATCATTATAAATACAATTTGAACAAGTTTGTCTGATTTCACGATTTGTAAGATTGCATCTAAAAATAAGGCAAAGACGGTCAATTCGTATTGAATGTTTGATTGTTGAAATGTTTCACAATCGAACTCAACTTGTACCTTTCGTCTTCAATTCAAAGATTAATCCTTCAAAATCACTGAAAACTTTTCTATCAATAAGAAGTGAAATTATGTTTCGTTGGTCAAAATCGTTGAGAAATAATCATCTTTTGATTCCTAAAAGAGCTAAAAACAATTCTATTTTGAGAGTTCGATTTGGACACTTGAAGCTTATTTCAAATCAATTTGATTCAAATTAGTTGGAAAAGTAAAAAACTTTTTCCAATATTACAACCTTTCGTTCACTTTACGACATAATCTTCAGCATAAATAATCTTCAATGTAAAGATTCAAGAGATTTAAAAGGTTTTCAATTGCAGAATTAAATAAATATATGTATTTAAAGAGGTAAATGTGAACACAATTGAAGCAAAGCAAAGTTACAACAAAAGGGAGAACGAAATGCTGAAACGAAAGAAGATTCATGATTTGTTCTGCAAGATTTATTATGTTAAAAGAATCATGAGATTCTGTGTTATTAGCATGGAAGAGAAGTAGAAGAGAAATGGGATTTCATTCCACAGATTTGCAAATTCAATATAAAAGTGTAACAAGTTTAAGTAGATTAGTGATGCTATTTGTGTTTTCACCATTTAGTGTTTTTCATCGCAAAAAACTTGAGAATCCAATGTAACAGGTAATTGGAAATAAAAGTTGACCGATTTCGATGAATTTCAGAGTAAATGTTTCAATTGAATTGCATTTGTAATTGAATATTTATCTATTCACTCAAGCAAAGTTGAATTCGTTTTTAAACAAATTTAATCGTTCTATTTTCATCATTATATTCAAAGAAATATTTGCTTGAGTTCGGTTTCCTTGAATTTATCTTGATCATTAAAAATATTATTCAGATTTAATCATTTCTGCTGAGAAACTTTGCCTTTCGAAAGATGCAATTGAAGATTACACAACTTAATCAACATATGAATTTGCGTTTATTCCGTATTGTATTGCATGTTGTTTTGAATATAAAGTTTTCATCAATTTCAATCAAGGTTTTCAGCTTTAAAACGACTTAATGGTTTCTGTCAGACTAAAGATCATTTGTAAGATTTAATTCCAAGTGTTTTTTGCTATTATGCTGTGTTTTGCACAAACTTGCACGATTTATATTAAACGCAAGTTTAAATATTCTTGGATAACTTAGTCGTTCAGCAACGATTTGCTTATGGGTTTTGTGGTGCAACCAAATATCGTCAGATTATTATTAATAGTTGTCAATAAAAGCTTTTCAGTCGTTTACCATAACTTTATAATCACTTTCAAATGGCAAAATCCATAACCATTAGATTGATGGCTTCAGATTGGTCTTGTCGATCATTTCTTCTCATCCTTTATGCAATACTCGTAACAGGGATTCTTAACAAGTAAAACACCTTTCGATGCAAACAACTGTGAACAAATCAAACGTGAACTTTGAGGCTACAATGCACATTTCCAGCAACAAAAACCTTTTCTTCGATGATTATTTCACTGGATTTGTACTGGGATTTGCAATCAAAACTTAAACGTTAAACATAACGTGAATTGCAAGCAAGTTTCATGTTTAATTCAATTCACTTTCAGATTCTTGAGTTTAGATTTGGCAAAAATTTCTCCTTCAGTCAACTTTATTGACGTTCAGAGACGTTATTGAGAAACATCATTCAAGACATTCGATTACATCTGAATATAAAGATCTAAATGCGAAAAACGCTCATCAATTAGTAAAAGAGCAAAGTGAATATCATCTGCAGTGCAATCAAAAATTGCACCAATTTGAATCCAGTTCAATACAAATTGCTTATTTGCAGATCGTTTGAGTTTATATCTGATCGTTTATTGAGAGATTTAGACGTTTAGAGATCAGTTTCTCTATATTGCACAAATATCTCTTTGAATAAACTTAACTTGAGATCTTTTTTTGCTGCAAGGCATCTATTGCAGTCTATTGAATAAGAATCAGCGCTGACTTTTTACTGACAATGAGAACGAACATGAGTCAAGCGATTTAAAATCTAGAAAATTATAACTCAGAATGGATAAGTCATTTGGAATCGCGACTTTGCATTTGAGATTATTGAGTTGATGCTAGTAAATTTGCCTTAAAACTTGGCATTTCGGCAAAACTCGAATTCATTGCTAAAACTATTAACTTTGACAATTACTTTTCAATCTTACAATCAATTGTAAGACCAGATAAAAGTATTCGAATGCTTTGTTTTATCTTATTAGTTACTTTCATTGATTGAATTATTATGCAAAATACAATTTATCAAACTCTTTCTCGCTTCTTAACTGGGATTGGAAAGCAAATAAAACAAAATATCAAATATTCTCAACTTTTCTTTTCTTTTCTTTTTTCCACTATCTTGATTAGTTTACCTTTCCATCTGTATTCTTGCTCTGAATCCATGAATATGAAAAGTAAAAGGTAAAATTGTATCTTACCTTGCAGGCAACAAAAGTGAATGCAATCAATCATATTTCAATTCTGCAAACATGAAATTAGATTGAGAAACAAAGAGTTTCATCCATTATTTACTTACTTTGATATTTTTATCTCATGATTGGGATAAAAGTGAAAGTTTACTTTCAATTCAATGCAAGGTAATAATAGATTTAATGTTTACAATTGAATTGATTGTCTTAAATATCAAACATTAAATGACGAAAACAGAAAACGCGAAAAAACAAGAAAAACAGAAAACAAAGGTTTGAAAAGATTCTCGTAAAATATTTACATTCAATGGAAGTTTCAACAGATTCACAGATTCATAATGAAATACATTAACTCATGATATAAATCCCCGAGAAACACGATCTCAATGTTCATTAACAACTCCATTTCGAGCTGAGCAAAATTACAATTTAATAGAAAACATTTCTGCCAAGTTTGCTGGAAAATTGTCATTAATAATCAACTCACGAGGTAAACTCAACATTTAACTAGTTTATCTGTTCATTTCAATAAGTTGCGAGTTTTTGCTCTATTTGAATAATGAATGAAGCTAAAAATTTTCATCATTTGTTCGTTTTCCATAAATATTTGCAAATTTACAGTTTTCCAGGTTGAAGACACTCAGGATGGAAAATGAAATGGAAATGCAATTAAATTGAATTACCTTTATTGGTTTTAATGGCTTTTGTTTATCTACTTCAATTAGGTTCATATTGAGGTTGGTGAAAGGTATAAAGCTTTCTGGTGTTACAAGGATCCAAGTCAACCAATTATCTGGAAACTTTATGAATGTTACATGTTAACCTTAATCCTGGTTATACCTTGCATTGTAATGGGCTTCACTTACTCCTGTATCTGTAAAAAGCTATGGATTGTGGTCCAGAAAAGAGCAACAATGTTTGGCCATGATAATGGGTAAGTTCAGAATTACTTGTAATAAATTGTTCCATCAAATGATCTTTAAGGGTTAACTTGGTGAAGACGATAAAAGTTTTTTTTCTGCTGCTGATGAACCATTCATTCTGTTATCGATTCATTGACAGTGGTTAACCTGCTGTTAATTAGAGGAACTTTTTTGAGGCAATTTTCTTCTTCTTTCAACTGTTGAACCGTTTGAATAAAAACATGATAATGATGATAATTGTTAATAGTAAACATGATTTTGCTGTTATTCAATTTCAATCATGTGAACATTATTTATGATTAATGTTGTGGCAAAGGTTGTTATTGATATTTTTATTGAAAGTTTTTTTCTTCGCGATATTAATCACTGATTAATAATCAGTAAATAAAGACAGGCTGTGTAATTAAGAGTAAAATACAAATTTTATTGTAATTCGTTTATTTAGATTCGAGACAAAACTGGTTTGCTCATTTTTAATGTACGGGGTGTTAGAAAATCAACTAGACATGTTTGAACGATAATAACTTCGAAATTGCTGGGTCATTTTTTTTATTTTTGGTATCATTAGAAAGCTGAAAGTCTGACTTAAAAAATTCTGTTTATTTTCCAAGAGGAAAATTCTAGGCCGAACAACCAATCCCAGATGATGCAAAAAATTGTGAAAATTTTAGGTGAAATTTGAAGAAATTTTTGTTAATTTTACTATGGGATGAAAATTCAATAATAGAGAAAATTTTTGCTAGATGATAAATTGAAATAAAAAGTTAGAGCATATTTTTTGACATGCATTCAAGAATCTTTTGACCCTAAAAAGTAAGAAAAATTCGAGTCCGAAAGCAATGAAAAATTCGAAAAACCAAAACAGAAAAAAATTTAGTTTTCGTCCATTTTTGAGAGCTAAATTTATCGAAAATTCTTTTTTTCATTCTAATATGTTTTCTAGTCAAAGACGATTCCAACAATATATCATGAGTCTGTTTACTCTGCTTGGTCCGAAAAATATTGAAGCGCAAACAGGTCTAGTTGATTTTCTAACACCCTGTACAAGAGTTGGCCTTTACGAGAAGGCTCAACGATTAAAAGGTTTTCATCATTTGAATTGTTTATGCACAAGTTTACAATTGAAGTGTCAATTGGCACAGTTGAGTTGTTGAGTAAATTGGTGTTCAAATGATTGATTAGAAGCCGCCGAAACCACCGTAGCCAGAGTAACCAGAGTAGCCTGGGTAACCAGCCCCATGCCAACCAGCACCATGCCAACCCCAGACTGGGTAATAGTAGGTAACGTGACGATCACCTTGATGGTGGCAATTGTCCTTTAATATGATGTTTCCTTCGCCTTTACCTTTTCCACCGCCACCAGTGAGAATGGTTTTACTGTGACATCCATCGATTATGATGTTACCGTGTCCTGATTTGCCAGCAATAACAAGTGAAATCAAGGAGAAAAGAATAGTGAAACAGATTAATTTAGAAGACATTTTTTTGGAGTTTTTTTCTACTTCGTTAGTAAAGGGTTTAATTTAGAAACAAAACACTTTTGTTTTATCACAAAGGTAAAAGGTTTGTATTTTTCTTTTGTTGATGACTGTTGACTGAATGATCATTTTGAAAGGAAACTGTCGATATATATTGAAAAATTTTTGGGTGAGAAAAGCTGGTCAAAATATGTCTACCCAAAAACTACCCAAAAAGGCTGGTTGCAGTTGCTTAATCACTGGTTACCCTTTCTTCATTGTACCTGACTTTTGGTCACTCTTTCTCAACATTTTATCTTTTCTTTTTTAATTTACCTGTTTATCAGTTTAAACAGATCTTGTCGATTCACTCAACCATATTAAACTGTTTCTTTTAATCTTCTAATCTTGAAAGTTAACAATCTTGTTAGGCTGCTAACATTTAAAGTGTTTTAGTGTCTAAATGTACCTTATTTTAGGTATTAAATGGTGACTAAAGAGGGGAATGATGGTTAGAATTAGTTCAATTTCCTAATGAATTCAATTGAAAACCAACTGTAATACTTGTGTGCTTCTAACTGCCTTAGTTTGCATCTCATAACGAGTACAGATTTAGTTGACAACAAATAAATCAATTTCAATACATTTACTCTGACTTTCACGATTCCCTATTTTGGATGCAAACTATTATGTAAATGCTCTTTTTGAATTTAAATTGTAAAAATATCTAAAAATCAATTTCCTCAATTAAGCCAAATTAATCTCTTATCAATTGTTAACCAAAAGGTCAACAAATTGCTAATTACAATCAACATTGATGGAGGTGGATTCAGATGGATCATGATTTGTAAATATTGAAGGTTTCTCTTGTTATTGTTGTTATCATTAAATACTGGGCTTTTACCATCGGCTAATTGATTCAGTCTGAAACATTGTGTTTAATAGCATCCAAAGATATTTGTTTGAACTTAAATTTAATCATGTGTACCTTAACATATGTTTACAATTTGTTTGTTTCATTTTCCGTGATAAGCTGAATTGTAATCATTGAAATATAATCAAAAGGCCATTAAAAAACAATTTGAGTTAACATTATGTAAGACTGGACTTAAAAATGGTCATATAAGAGGATAAAAATCATTTCTGACTGATGATTCAGCAAAGCACTGAATAATCCGAAGTTTATTGTTCAATAATGAGAGTTGAAAAGTTATAATTCAGTCAATTGTTGGGCAAATGTTGCTCTTTGATCAGACTAATTCTTGTGTCCAGGTAATCTGGATAAATTTATTTTGATGAGCAAAAAAGTCATTTGAAACAATGTTCATTGTAATTGTTATTCCTAGCTTATTTACCGTATTTCCGAACATATAAGCATTGTGCTTATCAACAGAAATTCCTCACTGCGAAGTCCATATTTATCTTCATAAATAAGAACACTGATAAGCAATTACATAGAAGTACATACAAAAAACCTGTTTTTTAACGAGTGTGGAAGCACATAGTGCTAATCTAAAGTGAGGAAAAATGCGCTTTTAAGTGAACGTTTCATTAATAAGCCTCGGCTTATATGCGCGGAAATACGGTAGTCTTTGCTTTAACCATTATTTACGTTGTAAATTAAGGGTTTAAATTGCTCAATTCAACTTGCGTTTAACCTTTATTGTGATTTAAATTGCATGGAGTTGGTTAAGTTTGTTTTTTCTGGTTCAATTGTTTCTCTGAAAAAATCACCGAAAATTGAGTTTATTTGTTTAAAACAAATAATTTCAATTAATAGTTTTGTCATTCCTCTGAAGCAGGTTAACTCAAAACTTAATCACAATTAACAAACAAAATCTAGGCAAGAAACCTTCAATATGGAAACCAATCTAATTCAGTTTGATGTTTCTATTCATTTTTAAAACTTATCAGTTTAACACTTAACCCTAAAGGTTGAAAATTGTTTCAAATCAAACTGAGTTTTAGAAAGGGTATTTTAAAAGTAAAGAGGCAAATGAATAATTCAGATCAAATTTCAAATAACAAGATGTTTACAATTTTCAAGGGGTTTTTAAATAGAATGAAAAATTTGCTTCAATAAATTCCAATATCTGCCAAAATTTTCAGTCCACAATGTCCAAAAACGAATCGAAAAGTCTTTGCGAATTTCGAAAACGAAAAAATAGTTCAGCAAACAGTCAAACATTTAATCAATAAAGAATCAAGCTAAGGTCAATTTACAGAATGATATCTTAACATAATACTACAGGGTCTATGAAATATAAAGTTTAAGTGGAAGACCGAGAAAAGGGCTAATTCGATACAAAATTCATCAATTTTTTAATCAAACCAGAAGATCTCAATTCGCCAGTGTGAATCTCTCGTATGTCGTTAAACCGGGGGTATGAAGTCGGATAGGATGAAACTCAAAATGATGATGAAAAAAGGAACTGCTCTTTCTTCTTGAGCCTTCTTAATCTATCACCCTTCCAAGCTTTTCTGAATCGCGATTATTTTCGTTTGACCAAATAGAGTGATAGGCACTAAAGTAACCGAGTATCATAACTAAATCAGCTTACTGTGAGGTGAGGTACGAAAATAATCTATTTACAATAGAAGAGGATTGTTTTTGTCGCCGATTTGATGAGCGTTTGATTTCAATTTTCGAAATTTTTACCATTTTAAGTCTGGGGGACTAGCTCCTAAAGACCCACTATGGCTATTGTTAATAATGTTTGGCACAAGGGTAATGGCATAAAAGAAACAAGTTTTGCGTGACTTTTGAATAACCTGGTGAATGCTCTAAACTGTATGCAAAATCAGGCCAATTTATGTGAAAAACGGTGAAAATCGTTTATATTGTGATTTTGCAAAACAAAAATATCTTGGTGAACAATGAGACTTACGTTCACCTAACGAATCACGTAGCAGGTAAATGGCAGAAAATTTTATGCAGCTAACTAGGGAAACAAACCTGGCATAAAACTAAAATAGCTCAAGAAGGGTCTTAATAAGGAATAACAATCTTAAGCTCATGTTTCAATGAATCCTAAAGTGAAATGAATTCTATGAATATTGACTGAAAAACAAGTTTTAAAGTTCGTCTCGCTGCTTTTGGAACATCCTTTAACAACATGTCACCTGACATAATGATGTTGATTGGAAAAAATTTTAATTACTTTTCTTTCTTTACATTGAACTGATGTTTTTGTCGTAACTAAAACAATTGAATAAAATGACAAAAACCATTAATTCTGATGTGAATGCCCATGAGCATTCCATATCACCATGAATCAATATCATGGAAAGTATTGTTATTCAGAAACTCATCTTCAAGTTAACCAAATACTTATAACATTAATGGCAATTACACTTGAAAAACAAGCTAAAACATGAATATAAACATAACAATATAATATTATAATAATGGATTGAAAGACTGTAGAGCAAAATTCATTATAAACCGTTAAAATTGTAATATCAACTATTCATAGATTTTCAGTGATTATCTGATTATTTATTAATTTAGTCTCTTTTATAGTCACTCTTAATATTAATATCCTTTTCTCAAT